TTGTCCAATTTATAATCATCTTCAATTTTCTGTGAATTTGTTGGTGGAAATATTTTGTGGGATTATTCATTAGAGAGTCATGTGGATGGTGTTTTGTGATTTCGCGATGGGTTGGGATTCTAGTGACCTAGAAGGGCTGTCTTGAGCTTTTTTGACTAAGCAAAAATGCAAAACCAAAACTCGATTTATGAAAGGTCTTTATGATATTTTCCAAGATCTCTTTGCTGACTTCCAGGAGTCAAACTCTGTCTCTAAGCAAATTTATCATTATAGCTAATTTTTGTGCCTTTTGTTTCTTCTTGCTATTAATAATTTGGGATTTTTTTGGTAAATTACCAATACTTTTTACCGAATGATCAACCATGATTAGTTGAACTTGAATAATTTACACAATTTTAATTATCCAATTAGTCAAAAATTGGTAAGCTTTTTGACTGTTTAAGCCAGAAAATGAGAATTTTATGCGAACTTTAGTTTGAATGCGAGGATCTCCTATAAGGACCTCCCATTTAGCATCACATGGACCAAAAAAGTTTCAAAAGTTGAATTTTACGCCCTTGTAAACCCACGGCTAGGTTTATTGCTTGAAATTATAAAGATAGGGTGGGATGTTTGAGGTTTTATAGACAGTAACATTTATAGGGATTTAAGATTAAATCAAAAATCCACAAAAATCCCAGGGCTACAAACATCTACAACACACCATTTCCAACTTCTTTCCTACCCATTTATTGAAATCGCTTGTTCGCAAATATTAGACAATAATTTAAATTCGACAATTGGCAAACAATTCATTACTGACTACAAGAGAATCTTCAATAAATCCGGTTCTGAATTGCTTCACACTCTTTATTTTATTTCCCATTCCGATCAGCACGTTTAAACATTAATTATAAAAAAATATTTTCATTAAGGCATTAGGAAATTAAAATTAAACTTGATAAAACTTGAGGCACAACAATGAACTGCTCGTTTGTTCATTTAATTATGTAAGGTCAAGAGAGAAACTTGCGACTATTTTGGTTATTTTATCTCAATTATGCAGTCTCTTTATTGAGAATTATTCTATTCAGAACAGTTTGATGAAAGTACTTACAACGACAATGTGATGATACTTCCTCGGAAATGAGACTTTACACTGTCGTTTAACAACTAACACTGAACTGACAAATCTTTATTTTTTTTGTAATTTTAATCTCATCATTTGTTATTGTAAGGAGATGCTGTATATAATATAAAAACTTTTGGACAGAGATGAAGATTATTTGGGAATGTTTGGTAACTTTTGATATTTATTGAGTCGAGTCTCAGCCATCTCTGATCTTTAGCATGCTTGTGTGTCACTTGTGTGATATAACTTTATATGGATGGAGTTCCCGAGTTGCAATTGATCGATATGCAGTCATGTGGCTGCTACTAGTGGCTATAGAAGATGGGAAAATTTTTAAAACACACATACTATTGACATCAGCTGCTGAAAGTCAGGAATGCTTTAGATGCACCAATCTGATTGCTTTTACTAATTATGTCCTACTCGGGACATTTACATACTTTCCATTCAAAACATCGTGAAATTCGCGTCAAAATTTGACCAGCTCTCTCCCATTTTCAGTCCATCCTCAAAGTTTGGTGATATTTAAATATTTAATACATATTTACCAATGACAACGCTTGTGTAAAGGAAATGACAATAAATAAAAGCTCGTAAAAAGCAGTTTGACTTGTCCCAAATATTTTCTTTATTCGCTGAGAAATTTACATCATTTTATAGATTCACGTGTTACATTCCAGTTAGAATTGATGATACAGATAGCTGGTTAAAGGTGCTTGACCGAATCTCTAGATGATGAATTCTTCTTCCACGTCTGCATTTTGGAGAGTAAAAATTTCCTTATAATGAAATTGGCACCACCTGATTTTGATGCCATAAAATGCAAAAAATTAGAAGCCAGATGTATTTTTATTATTTAATGATTTGATGTCGTGTTTTTGATGAATTACGGATTTATGAATTTTTATTTTGTTTGGCGTGCAGTCGTTGAACATTAATACTGGTTTTTTTGTTGTAAATCTATATTTGTAGGAAAATAAATTAATTCAGATTTTTTGCTGTAACTTTTTAATCGACTCATGGGAAAATAGGCAGCATTATATGAGTTTTAAGATGTGAATGAACTCTTAGTTCTGTTGAAATACTTCCTATGAAAAAGGTAGCTCTGGAGTCATTTTTAACCAGCAATAACCTAGGAGTATTTTGTACATTATATAGCTAATAAGGTCAGATAGCATCGCACAAGTTATGAAAATTACTATTAAATGATTCCAACATCTACTTCTAATCAAGAGACCAGAATTATATTTTTCTGTAAAAAATTATCATCAATTTTAACTGTTTAAAGCTTCTTAAGAAATTAGGTAACAATTCTGCAGACCGATATGGATCAATAAAGAACATACTGGCAAGAATGTTTTGTTTGTTATAGCTTTTATGGTAATTTTTATTATCGCGCAATTTTACAGGTGTTCGAAGATGTAATCAAATGATTGTCTTTAAAGAACTAAAAGAGAACACGTGAGGGAATAATAAAGGGCTTAAAATTTGCATAAGTCAAAAATCTTTTGTATAAATGGAGATTGTTCATAAATGATGATTGAGTATTGAATTCGAATTGTGGTCTAGGATGGTATTAAATGACAAAAGAAAAGGTTCTAGCATATAAAAAATTCATAGATTGTCTAAATCTCAAGATCTGATACATCATTTATAAACAACCCCCTGTAAATTTTTTACTGTGTAAAATGCCTGTGATAATCAACAACATGTAGCAAATAAGCCCAAAAAAAAATTCATATGAATATCCAGCAGTCGGTTTTACGGTTCAAGAGCTTTTGAGAACGAATTCGAACGCAAAACAAAAGGCAAAGCTTAGGAGCTCTATAAACTATTACAAAAGTTGAGCAATATCAATTGAATCACAAAATCTTTTTCTGATGAAAAAAATAATTAATCTATGACCGAAGTAGATTTAAACAGCAATTGAGCAACTCACTGCATTTAATTCACTGTTTGAGGTTAGGTTTTTTTTTGTAAGAAATAAATTTTTGCTCAGTTAAATAAAGACGAAATAAATGCGATTTGACCTCCTCGGATGATCATCACTCAATGATACTTTACTGCCGAAATATCTAGAAATTATTCCAATGTGATTGGTGCTAGCTTTGCAAGCATGAATGATTTGATGAAGAAATAAATGAAAGAGTGCAAAAAAAATTATTTCTATTTCAATGTCGACTGATTACTTCAATGATATGGCATTTAATTGGGAGATTAATGTGAAATTTGAATGGTCAATGATTAAGTTCTTAATATATATATATATATTGTCAATATAATATTACGTACATTAATATTACGTGATGGGTTTTTTTTGTGCATTTTTAATAGAATTCTTTGATTTTAGATTTTTTGTATATATTGAACGATAATGGATTAAGTATTGAGTAAGTGAGAATTTACATATTCAGATTTGAATGCTCACAGACAAAAGCTTCCTTATTTACATTGTTTAATTGTTTATCTACCAGGAGATGCATGATTTTTCGTTAATTCAATTTTTTAAATCAGTGTTGATGTGTAGACATGAATATGGATTTAAAGATTCATGCCTCGGTGTATAAATTCATGAACTGATTAATTTCTCAGTAGGGGAGATTCTTAGAAGAATCCAAAGATATTTTCAAGAAAGGATGCTCCTGTTAACACTAAAAATTGAACCCAGAAATGCTTTGCAGTTGATTCAACTCCTTGTTTTGCCTTAGTCAATATTTAAGCTGCGTAACAATTTAATCTTCCCAGAAATAATGAGCATAGAAGCAATTGACCCCTAAAATTCAACCAATCAGCAATGACTTATATAAAAGCTCACAAAAATTCCTAAAGTATACAATCTCCAATTCCCACCAGAAATTCATGCCAATTATGTCATTTTTCGCACTCTTTACAACCTACCTCAAACTATTGCTGTGCGAAAAAAAAATCCCAGCATTTAAAACAATAAAAGTAGCTTGATCCACAAAATTCATAAATTTCCTTTAATAAGTTGCATCAATATTTCATTTACCTATGAGACATGTCGAAATATTTTATGGTCTTTTTGCCATTTAAAACTTGATAGAAGGGGAAATCGTTAGTAAGTAGCTTTTAAGATTTTTCCTACAACAATACTACAAAAGCTACGTACGCAAAATGCTTTGAAGGACATTAGCGAATAAAACAAAAACAAAAAAAGCACATCCATCAGTATTGGTGGACTTGTAGAAACAGGTGTAAAATAATAAATTTAATAATTTGCCACTCAAGAATCGGACGTACGATGATGTGTGCTTTAATCACCACTTGTGATTTTTTTTAAGTACAATAAGTAAGCCATGCATACGCTTAGTCTAGTGTCTGTATGTGTGAGCGAGCTTTATAAGATTTAAATTTGTAGTAGGAACAGAGGAAAAAAAAGTTCAATCGCATGACTTCAACAATATCGCAAAACTTCAAGTAAGATGTTAAATCAGTTTCGTTGGTGCCTTCGAATGATTCGGTTGTAAGACTCAGAGAGTGATAAAAAAAAATAATAATATTTTCTGTACTTCTAGTTGAAATCGGTTAAGACATAAAAAGAATCATCACTTCATACCTCAATTACGGACGAGGTTTAAGTGATTGTGTTTGAGTAGTTCGATAGCCGAGTCGTTAAGGAGGATGAAAAAGAGGAAATAAGATTTTTTCAATTAAAACTAGCTGAGAATATTAAAATTTTCATTTATTTGTCATTGAATAATAAATAAAAAGTGAGAAAAAAGTAGCTAATCGTGCAATTATATAGACACAAAAAATAACAAACAATTCATAGACTTTAAAAGAATTTAAAGTAAAAAAAAGGAATTTAATTCTAGTGCACATATATTTTAATCTGTGATATATCTTCAAAATAATTTAATTCAATAAAATGGATAACTATACAGACTTTGATGGATTTCATGGATTCCAAAAGAATTTTGTCAAAATGGCATGGGATGAATATAATTCACCGCAACAGAACTGGATTGACTTAGGTCTTCGGTACTGGACAGTGATTGACGAGAGATTAGGAGGTAAAAATTGATTTTTTTTGATGATTTAAGTCGTAAACTTGAACTTTGAGTTGAATTCTGAGACTAAATTGGTGAATAAATACAAAAAATAAGGAATTTTGGACATTGGATTACTTTGAAGTTGATTTTGATGGTTACTTTGAATCTCTAGTAGCTTTAAAATTAGCTTTAATCGTGATCTGACTCAAAAAGCTAATTAACAAAGTTCATTTACATCAAATTTCGTCTAAGATCATTTATAACATATTTTGTTCCAACTTATTGAGTTATTTGGGTTAAATTGAGTTTCTTCTATTCGCTTAAAGGCGAAATTTATTAAATAACAGTTGCTTATGAACTGGGAGTGGATTCCTTATTTGAAAAATGTGATTTATCTCAATCCCGAATCAAATAAGCTCCGTAAACTCGTAAATCACAAAAATCACAAAATACCACCTTAACATTGAACTAAACGACGAATCTTCATGCTTCCGAATTTAAATAAAAGTCTTAGATTTTTCATTCATATCTTGTAACTGTTGCACCACTCAACCAGCTGATTACGAATTCATTTCAAATTTTAAATGAAGCGTCAATCGTTCAGTCGAGACGAAAATTGTTATTGAGTCACATCTCGAATTGTTTCCGATATTAGCTCATAAACAATGGATTTGGTGGACATTACAATAAGAGCCCTATTGATTTAAATTGAATTTTCAATGTTTTTTAATTGTTGAATTTCTGTCTTTTGTGATTAGTTTACTAGTTTATTTGTAGTGCTTAGAAGATTATTATTATTATTATTATTATTATTATTAAAACTTTCAAGATAATAGTGTTTGTGGATTCTTGTGGCATTATCAAATAATATCTTTGTTAGAAAATGTTTTTTGAATTATTGGCTTGATATTAATGTTCGTAAATTAATGTCAAGAGCAGATAATTCTTTGAATCATTGTTGATTCTTGAACTATTTTTTAAGCTGTCTGGTTTGAAAAATGCAAAATAAACGAAAAAATAGTCAAATAATATTTGGAGTTTAGATTAATTGAAAAAAAAATCAAAAATTATTCAATAAATTGTCAAAGTTTTAAAAACTTTTTTTTTCGAAATGAAAACATACTTTTCAAAACATTCTTAAACCTCAAAAACAATTTACATCATCACTAAAAACCCCAACATTACGCACGTTCGCACAATTAAATCTCATTGATAATTTCAAATAAACATAAGATCAAATATTTAATAAGTCGGTAATGATCAATATTTAACATTGAAACTCATCTGTGTAATTGTATGCAAATCATAATAATGGTCGTGAGAAATCAGCTGTACATCATCAAGAAAATTAAATTGAAGATTCATATCGAAAATGAATGAGCATTAAAATATTCAAAAATTATATTCAAACGTGATGTTGTTTTAATCGTGTGATGCCTGAGTGCATTTCAATTAAGCTTTTTTTTCGGTTTGTTTTGATTAGGTTTGTTTGATGTTTGTCATATTATATCATGTAATGGACGTTGATGGCTTACAAGAGCTTTTGATTACTGACTGGATATTTATGGAATTTATTTTACTGTTTTTTACATTTTTGATGGAATTTTTGTTAATAAATCTTAGTTTTTAATGGTTTTACCAATAATCAATAATTTTGACTAAACTCAAACCTTAATTCCTGTTCCAAAATTGTCCAATAATGTCAAGAAAATTCTCAAGAAAAAATTTCAATAATTTATTAAGGTCAACAAAATCCACAATTGCTTGAAAATTAAACCTCTTAATCCAAAGCCTCATTACATTTAACATCGTCATTGCGATCATAAATGTAGAAAATTATTCATAAGAAGTCTAAATAAAGAAGCTTAAAGTTTATGATCATTATTAAATTAATATGAGAAGGGCCATGAACATGAACATTCGCGCTTGCTGGAAAGAAAAAAAAACACAAAAAATTATTGTAATCTTGTTGGTTAATGTTACAGACATTGAATGTTTTTGTAGTATTTTTTTTTATGATTTACCTTCGATAGGTTTTTATATGCATTTAGAGGTTGAGGCTTAGAAAATTTTAAGAAATTTTTTAAAAATTTTGTTTTTTCAAAAACATTTAAAAAGATTTAAAATATGAATTTTAAAAAATTTCTTACAATATACAACTTGGCCTTGCTACCGGTAGCAAAATTATAGCAAAAAGTGATTAAAATTCAACCATAAAATATTTATTCCACTTGACCTTTAAGCTATAAAATCGACAAATTTACTAATCCACAATTTATTAATTTTATTCCAAATTTCAGATGGTAGAATCAAAGAATATCCCTTCATCTACACACCAATCCCAACAATAGCACTAGTAATCGTATATCTTGCATGGGTAATGGTAATAGGACCATTCTATATGCGAGATAAGAAGCCATTTAACCTTAAAAATACGCTTATCTATTATAATGCTTTCCAAGTACTCCTCAGCGCGTATATGTTTTATGAGGTAAGGACCAATAAGTCATTAAAGTTTTCACATCTCAAGAATTAATAACTGATCATTACTTTAATCTCTTTACAGCATTTAATGGCTGGATGGTTCAAAGGATATAGCTATACATGCCAAACAGTTGATTATACCGATACTCCTTTATCTAGACGGGTAAGTATCAATTATTTTGCTAATTGTCCGTGAAAATTGCTTCAGATGAATTTTTTTGTGATGATCATGAAAAAGTTGTGTGTTAAATTGAGGAAAATAAGAAGAAACTTTGAATTTTTTTAAAAGTATGAAGTCCCGGTCATGAACTGATTGTAATGGCTATCGTGCAGTAATTGAGGGTCTTTAGTTTCTTCATGATTGTCATTAAGTTGCTTCTCAAGTCCCAAAAATCAAATGGTTTCTCAAAAAAGAAAACATTTTCCAGTGATTTCTCTAATGCTGTCTTACAACTTGCATAAAGCAACCTTAAAATCGACATTCCAAAACTTTTAACTGAAGAGTCATCAAATAATGTCCGTGGTTATTGAACTGTACTCTAATGAGAAATATTTGAACAAAATTATTACATTTCCGCTCATACTCTTACACAAATAATTTCTCAAAGGTCACGGAACCGTGAAAAACAGAAGTTTATAGAAAATTAATATGACCTCCCAAAAAATGTCCATAACCATAACCTATCACAACACGAAATCTTTAAACACGATGTTTTCTTTTGCATTTCTTCAACAAACGTTTGTTGTAATTTGAAAATGATTTGTGGTGCAGTTTCGAGTTAAATTATGAGAGTTATGAGATGAGTTGAGTTTGTTGATTGTTGTGGGAAGTTTTACATGAATTGATGGTTTAATTGTGAGTTCTTAGTTTTGCAAAGCGATTTAGTCGTTTCGAGAAGGATTCGAACTTGTGAATCTATGAAAGTTTGAAATCAAGCAAATCTAATGGGTAAATTTGAGATTCTAAAGTCATGCTTAAATACTTTAAATATTCATATTTACAAATTTGCACAAATTATCAACTAATTACCCAAACAATGATCCAAATAATGAATTTAAACCCTCCAATAATCAGCAAATTAGAAAATTTCCATCACTTTAAAATTACTTGGCGTAGATAATTTCCAGTTTTGCAATTCAAATGTGTCAAAATAGTTTAAATAGTCTACCGTGAAAAATTGAAGCTTTTCTATTTGTTTCAATATTTAATTTTTATGCTGAAATTTGAATATGTGCAACGCACAAAGATAATGAGGTATATTTTGAAAGTCTCTGCGGTTCATTGAAAATCTTAAACTTTAACAATTTAAATTCATTCAAAAAAAAAGTTTAGCCCTCGTACTTGTGATTTTTTGCACGAGTTTGTATTATTTATTTATTTTGTAATACATACGACAAACAATTGTTCGCGAATGACGTGAGAAAAGATCATTTTTAAGCACACAAAAAGCTATGTGCGATGGCATCTTCTTGTTCAAAATTGCGCAATATTTATCAATGATTTTAACGGATCTTACACCTACCAAGTTTTGAGTTTTACGTCTATTTCTGTTAAATAAACAATCTCATAGAATTCTTGTGAAATCGACAAGCTTTTCCGATGGTCATCAAGTTTATGAAACTCATCTAGTCAATTCCGCATACATGAAAATAGCAAATAAGTTTTCTATTTGTATTTAAATTTTTATTTGCTGTAATTTTACACGATTACAATCCTTGAATCTATATTTAGATAGAGTTTCCAAAAATGTAATTTTCTATCGGTTTATCAATGCTTCAATGCTAAAGATGTAATAATTTGAAGATCAGGTCTTGATGATACTCCCTTTTTGAATTTTATGGTGCTTGAGTTTAATTAGATTAGTTTAATAATCAATAAATCATTTCAAAGATTTTCAAAATCGGTTTTAAAAAATCAAATTGAATCTTAAGCAATAAAGTTTAATGCAGAATGCTTGATAAGATGGGAATCGGAGGGTTCTCTCGAACAAAACGCCCCTAATCTTTAGGTATGAAACTCAACCAACCTATTCCTCCAATCTTGCAGCTCCTTATAAGTTTATGCACTAGATCTTGGCATGTTTCTTCAGGTCTGTAAGACGAAGGCAAAGCCGAGTAAGCAATTGCATGAATTAGTCGATTAAAGTAGACTTGGCAGCTACAATTTTAATTTTTTGAGGATGCGCTCTAACGATTTCTTAGGATTCAAACAACACTTTCGACTGTTTGTCTTTTTGATTTGTTCAATTAGATTGGAAGCTTAATTTTGGGTGCTTTAATTTGAAAAATAACAGGTTGTAATTTTTGAGTCTCGAACCCTCGATAGCAGAGGACTGAAAATCATAAAATACTTAATAATCAAACCTCTGTACAACGTACCCTTTTCAGCTCACATAATTCAAAATCAACTCATGCAAAAAATCATACAAAAATGACAAACTCAAATGCGAATCCAAAACCTTCAATAAATTTTCTGCCTCAATTTCTCTTGCTCTCTCGACTGCATTAACTTACAACATACCGGTTTAATATAAAAACAATTCAGAGAAGATTTCCCCTAAGGGCCACATTAACATCTCATTTGATTTCATAATACGACTTTGAACTCTTCATTCATTTCGAAAAAAAAAAATGATGCAAAGAAATGCAAAAACTGATGACCTTGTCTGAGTATATATTTTTAAACACAACAGTACTTTCACTACAAATTGCATAGTTTATTTATGTCAAAAAAAAGTTGTATGTAGAATAATCTGGAACCTGTTTAGTAGCAAATAAATGTCTTGACTATCTACCACAAAGGTTACTAGACACTGCAAACTGTTATTTCATAAAAAAAAAATCAATTTCCTCTATTTAAGTTCTTTACGCAGATTTTGTTATATAAAAAGTCGGTACTTATTACCTTTAATTATAACCAACAGTTGTTGTCGGTTGTTTAACACATTTTCTGTTAAGGTCAATAAATCAATCGTTTTTTTTCTCTCTCTTTACAGATGCTTAACTTATGCTATGTCTATTACTTATCCAAATTGACTGAATTTGCTGACACAATATTCTTTGTGCTGCGTAAGAAAAAGTCACAAATTACCTGGTTGCATTTGTATCACCACTCATTGACACCGATTGAAGCATGGGTTCTTGTAAAGTTCATTGCCGGTAAGTACATTCAGCTATTATATATCAAGTTTATTTATTGCCAATAGCAGTAAACAATATCTTGCACAGTCATCGCTTTATAAGCGTGAATTTCATGATTCTGCATAATAATTTATGTGTATATATTTTTTTTTCTAGGTGGAAATGCAACATTCCCAAATATCCTCAACAACTTCGTCCATGTTCTTATGTACTTCTACTACATGCTTTCTGCTATGGGTCCACAATACCAAAAGTATTTGTGGTGGAAAAAATATATGACAGAGATTCAAATTGTGAGTATTATTTTTTTTGTGGGAGGGCGGGAGCTGGGTTTTGTACTCTTTTGGCGCTCTATCCTACAATGACGAGAAATGCAATCAAGACAAAGAAGTCCTGATGTGATTTACACAGGATGGTTGCCTGCACACATTTAAGAATCCTTGGTCACGTGAAATTTTGAGTGACTGAACCATTTTAAACCATCGTTAAGGTTCAAATCCTCAAAAAAAAATCAAGATTCTATCCGACTTTATCTTTAAGAACCCCTAAATAGGCAATAACTAAAATAGCCCTAGGCCAACTTAAAACAAAGCCACAGTTGAGCTTAAGATAGATGCAAAAAATAGCTTCAATAATCAATGAAACGACATTGAAATAAAAAAAACAATCTTAAATGCGGTAATTTTTCTGCGCATTCGACTGACCAACTGCCTCACATTGTGAGATGTAGTGGAAAAAAAAAGAGAAAAAAAAAATATCGAGTGCATGAACTGAGTTATAGAGGTATATATTATTGAGAGCAATGACATTCAGTTTCACTTTCAATGTGAGATGTTGCTTAAGTAGGCAAACATGTTTCATAGTCGGAATCGGCGGTAGTGGGTATGGCCATAATAGCACAGTACTTTCAATACAATGAATCTATTTTATGATGGTATAAATATTTTTAAGCAGTACAGCCACCGTACTCATTGTGATGATTTGATGATTTTTATATTGCAAAAAAAAAATATTTCATTCATACGTTGATGCACACCAGCACAAGATGAATATAATACTTAACGTACATGAAAATCTGTGTTGAACAGAACATGAAATCGTTTATGGATTTCCAAGGTTGATGCCTAACATATTGAATACTGTGCACGGTTGAAAATGTGCACATTTGTGCATGAACTTCTACTATGCATTCCTAACAACATGTTGAGCCTTTTTCATTAACAAAAATTGCCACATAGCTTAGCTGAAGTTTATTGTCCATATTTCGAGTCGTAAAGATGATTTTATTGCGGACGAAGCCGCTATCGCATTAGCATTTATAAGCCCTGTATGTCCATGCATGTAAATTTTATTGCTATACCTTCAAAATCCGGCAGACTATAAGGAACATCTGTTTGAGATGATAATAATATGTAAATTATGCCGGTTCCAATGTTAAAAATCTTTATGGACCAATGTTAATCTTCACAATCAAGTGAGGTGGCTGTTGAGTTGGAAATTAATAAGGAACATGAATCATAGTAATGCATATGCGAATTGCAGGCAAAATATGTCATTGTCTTTTGAATTATAGTTAAATATTCATAGATCTTATGGAAATTTGACCATGTTCATACTTACTAGACCATAATTATTAAGGCCTTCTGTATGATTGGTGTTTTTCTTACCTTGGAACGTGCTACTGTGTACTTCTAATTATCTAGAAGATTTGTTTGATTTTTGAAATTAAATCAAGTACGTTTCCGAAGGGAAAGTGTTACTTTTGATACTTTTGATGGCTGGAACTCAAAAAATTCCAAAGCAATAACAAAAACTTCATATCTTAAGCTACGAAATCTAGTCACAATAAATAATGATTGACCTCAAAACATTTCGCGACTTTGGAATGTTTCAAGTAGTCAGGACTTTCTTTAATATCAACAAATTACTTTGATCTTGCTAATTCCATCAATAATCCCTTTCATTTTAAATTCACTGAATATTCATTAAAAATTTTAATATAATCAATTTAAATTGCACAATCAAATTACAATTTTTAAACTTTAAGAAGTCCGAAATGCCAATCAGCATATCAAAAAAATTTTAATCTTCAGTTTTTTGCTTAATTGATCCATTGCACTTACCACCAAAATTGTTTTAATAATATGAAATTACTTTATCTCAATCGTTTAAATCCCTCAATTACTACACAAGAATTTGGCAACAAACCATGACTTGGGCACTCAAATGTAATCAAACTTGAGGCCTTGATATGTTTTCGCAGATTATCTTAAACGATTCAGTTGTTTTTGCTAGTGAGCATTTAGGTAGCTAATTAATGTTTTAGAGATTCTCATTGTTATGTTGCAGTAATTAGCTCATTACTTGGTTTTTTAATAAGAATAAAATTATTAAAGTTTTGAGAATTTTGATGGGTTTTGCTCAACAATGAGATTTTTTTTGGTGGGAGGGGGGGGGGTGGTTTTGGCTCAAAAATACAGCAAGAACAATAATTTCTCAAATCTAATCATTTTTTTTCTTTTCCTTCCAGGCACAATTCGTTCTCTGCATCTTCCACAACATCCGAGCACTTTGTACAGACTGCACATTCCCACCATTCATGTCATCACTTCTCCTGCTGAACTCCATCATCTTCTTCGTACTCTTCATGAACTTCTACGTTCAAAACTTCTATAAACGAAAATCAGCTGCCACAGCAACAACAGAGAAACTCAAAGCACAATAAAATAGTTCCGGGGAAATAAGTTATAATTCATTTGGTATTAAAGTGTGTCCATTACCTTTGAAAAACCATATTTTTTAATAATCTCGTCATGAATTGCTGTCGACAAGTCGAAGAATAAAGGAAATGTTAAGTCGATAATGTTTAGTGTGTAACAAGTAAGAAATTGAACAAAGAAGGTCAACACAAAAAAGCTATAAAAAGTGCACAGAAAAATATAGAAAAAAATGTTCAATCATGATCTTTGTGTGCCAAAATTATGACATTCACTAAGACAGAAGAAAGATTTAAAGATTTTCTAGAAATAGTATTGCGAATAAAAATTGTAGTGCATCAACGCAGCCTACTCTTGTGCTCAGTAATGTATTATTTAATAGATAGTTAAGTTGTATACAGTTGGATGATATAGAAATGGATGTCCGGGGTTTACAGCTTTATTTCGTATGGAATTTGGGGTGCTTTCCTTACTTATTGTTAATTGGGGGTACTTAAAACATTTTATGGTCTTTGGGGGTATTTTAAACACTTTATGATCCTCGGAGCTATTCTTTTTATTACCCAGGACTCATAAGGACCTCTTTTTCATACATGTATTGGAGGTTAAGCTCAAAATTGCTGGCATCCAAGGTATTCATCTAATTAACACGTTTTTAAATGTGCCCTCTTAGTATTTTAACCCTTAGCGGACACCCCTTAATTAATAATAATTTAATCATCATAAAAATTTGAAATTTCCTTAGAAATTTCATAACCTAACCTCAAAAGTACCCCAACCTACAACTTAAAGTCATGTACATCTCGGGACATTCCAACAGATTTTCCATTAATATTAAAAACCATCTTTATATCCATCGTCTCCTCTTCAATGAATTTTTATTTATTTTTATAATTTTTGTTGTGAACTCAAATGGAAGTAACCTTGTGCTGTATGAATTTCATTTTTTCCCCTTCATTATTATGACTTAAAAAAAATTAATATAATAGATAGTGACCGAGTTTTATTAAATGATGCAATGCCGGTAATTGTTAAACGATTTCGGATTTTCTTGAAGTAATTTGCTTATGCTGTGTAGGGGAACTAAAAGATTTTGTAATACTTAAGTATAGTTTTTTGAGTGTTTCGTGTAAAAATCACTTAGAATTTTTACATGCGTCAATTACTAGCTACCCTTGAGAAGTAATGCTGGATGATTTTCATTTTTTGACTTAATGACGTGTTCGGTAATTTGATTTTCTAAGTCAATTTCATGGTTAAGTTCACATGGGGAATTATTGGAGCTTTTGGAAATTTAATGGGGTTTCCCAATAATTCTTGAAGGAATTTTATGAATCATTTAAATTTTCTATGGTTACAAAGGTTATTAAACTTTTAAGCTAGGGTCGTAGCAAGTTAAGAGACGATTAGTCTACTTCACACATACCGGCATCAATATGAATTATCTCTAGAAGCATAATGCGATACATCATTTGAGAATTGCAACAACTTATCAAAAAATTGTCCAATACCAAAGTAAGACAACCTTAATTCCTTGTTTTTAAATCAAATTTGCTCAATCTTTTAATCAGTTCGTCCCCGTTTATCCTTAAAATCTTTCTCAAGTGCAATTATAAATCTAGTTTTAGTAAAATTCTTAAAAATTGAAGATTGACATTTCCTGGCTGATTATTCTTAAAAGTGGCCTAATGAGGCGTGCCTTTATTAATTAGCGAATTTTGAATCATTCAGCCAAAATGTCGATTTACTCTTAAATCTTAAATTGTGTATATAATGTAAAAATTTCCAATAAATACTCTATCCTTACCTTTCTGTATTGTACATATATGTTAATTTATGTGAGGTTCTTTTTGTACTGGAAATCATTTTAAAGAAAAAATTTGAAGAAATAAAAATTCAAACATTATTAAAAAATTATTACCTGTCCAATTATCTTCAATTCATTAATGCCATGAACTTAAAAAAATTTTGCAGCTGATTTTTAATTTTGAAGGTTAATGCCAATGAGATGCTTTTGAAGTACATTTGTTCCGTCTATTTATACAAGTGATCATCACGTTAAGTGACAATAAATTTGTTTTCATTTAACAACAACATGATAGATGTTTATCTACATGCATCAGTCAGATATGGACTGTGTTTGTGAACGACGGAACACACAAAGAGATATTGAGACTTAATGAGCTTTTGAAGTCTTGATTGCTGTGTTTTAGATGATTATTTTGTGGTATTGGATATTATTTTGAGGTTTTCAGCTTTTTTAAATCTAAGAAAATTTATTTTTCAGCTACCGAATGCTTACCTTCACAATTGTCGATTTTTCCAACTACTTGATATAAAAATAGACAGTTTAATTGAATGCTTGTGGTCAATTATAAATTGAATTAATTTGAACCTAGTCAAAGGAAATTAAGTTATTATTTAAAAGAATTTTAAAATCAAATGGAAACAGTTTTAGGATATGACTCGAAGTTCATGATTTTGTGCAATTTCATTAACCTGTCTAAAGTTCTTTTCAGAACTTCTCAGATATTCCACCATCTTCAATTTTTCTACATCAAGATTTTTATGAGGTAAGTTAATGACTTTTTCATGGTTCCAGAAATGATCTTCAACTTGTGAGACAATTGTTAAAATTCTTAGGTAACGTAAAACTCTTAAGGGGCCGTTCACTTATGACGTCCGACATTTAGGGGGGGGAGGGGGTCTAGGATTTTGTGACAGTTCAAACAATGGAAATTTTTTTCTATAGAATTTTTGTGACAGAGGGTTGAAAATCAGGTTTTTTCATGGACGTCATAAGTGAACGACCCCTAAGAAGATCTCTTAAATCAAGACAGTCAACACCCATGATTAAGAACTTGCATGATACTCTGTTTTTTGTCCGTTCGACGATGTTAGATGAACCGAAAAGTTTTGAATCCTGTTTGATTGTTGAACATTTAAATATTCTCACTTAGCAAAATCCAATAACAATGCACATCACAGACCCGAATGGCACAAGTCGGTTGAACGATCAGAAATTCAGCACCAAACCGGTGTGAAGCCAGTAATCAAAGCAAGTACTATGCCAGAGTCATGCTGACTTAGCACCAAATTTCTATTCGATCCGACTTGTGCTATTCGGGAAATAACCCAAACAACAACAGACGCAAGCCGTTCCCATAGAAACCCAAAATCGAAATTATTTATTTACCAATCCAAAAATAGCCTCAAAGAAATAATAATTCAAGTTCAGAACGGAGAAAATGGCAACAGCAGATAATGAAAATATTAATACAAATACTGACGAAGTCACTTCACAAGTTGAAGCAGAAAAAGAGGAAGAACTGCCGATAATTGTATCCAAGTTCGAGTACATTAAAATTGCAAAGCAAACAACAACGACGGTCGTTCTTGAGTGGAAGTACAATGATGATAAAATTGACTCTGAAAATCCTGAAAATCCTGAAAAGGTTTTTAAGATAGTCAGGCTTAAGAATCGCAATGAATGGGAAACAATAAGTTGGACTCGTAAGTCAATATGTGTGATGAAAAATCTCGAGCAAAACACTTGCTACAGCATTAAAATTCTTGTTATGATACAAATGCCTGATAAGTTCGATGTGATTGACTCATCTGAAGTTTTTAAGGTAAACATCATTAAGATTGTTCATGTCAATAACCCAAACTGACCAACAGTCCTATTTCAGTGCTCTATACAAGTTATTCCATCGCATAAAACATTCGTGCGTGCTATACAAAAATCTCAATTGCACTTAATTAAGTCATATCTGAAATTAATGCCTGACTATTTGAACTTAACATTCAAGTCCCACAGCGCTTTATGTCTGGCTGTAAAGCAAAATGATTTAAGTATTGCAAAATATTTCCTTGATGAAGGAACGGATGTTAATGTTGGAATTCCTGAAATTAAACGGACACCGCTTCATGTTGCAGTCTTTCATGGCTTTCTTGAAATGTCTGACTTGCTAATTAGTTATAAAGCAGACATAAGAGCAAAAGACATTATGGGTCTTAATGTAGCACATCATGCGATTGACTCAAACATCCTTGAAGCTGTTGAGTATTGCATCGAAAATTTGGGAATCCATACGGAAACAAAAGATAATAATGGATATACATTATTACTCAGAGCTATTGTAGGACGTGCTGACTACAACATTGTTCGCTATCTGTTTGATCAAAAAGCTTCTCAGTCTGTACGCGATAATGCTCGATTATCAATTCTTCAACACGTGCGTATGATTAATGATCAGGAATTGGTTGACATATTGCTTAATTATAAGCCAAAGAATAAGTCAGATGCCAAGCAAAAAATGAAGCATAATGTACAGAAATTGATAATGTCGAGGCAAATGAAGAAGGATGAAACTGATGAGGAAACAGGTGATGAGAGTAGTCAAGCTGTCTCGGCGCTCGATCAAAGTGTGTTGTTTAAGTGAAGAGTGTTTTTGAAGGTGAGGGTTGTGCTCATATGGTTTTGTGGATCTACTTTGAAGTCATTTTTGCTAGGTATTGACTTTTCTGACTCTTTGATTGCGGGTTATCAGCCATTTCTGAATAAATCTATAATCTGTTGTGTCCCGGATTTTTCGCATCAAATTGAAGGCCATCACATTGCCATCACAAGAGTACGTGTTGTGCTAATATGCCGAATCTAAAGAAATTCGCTTGACTATGTATATTAATGAGCAAACTCTTCAATATTTACTTGCCATTTTACAAGTGAAAAAGAAGAATTTCAATGACTGTCGTATTCGATCATAGTTTTTTTTTGCATCTGTGTCCTTCCTTATTTATTTTTGTAGCTGTTAAAAAAGTCTTAAGTGAATGTACAAACTTTGTCGGCAAAGAAATAATTTTTTATAGCTTTTATTCCAAATTTATATCTCAATTAAAATAAATTTCAGATTTTTTCCCACCACAATGCATTTATGTCTTAATAATTAATTATAACAATTGTGAATTGACTGCTTTCAAAATCTGACCGAAAAACTTTTTTTTGTTGCAAATTTTTTTTTTGAATGTCAAATAATTTTTTTTTTCTGAAGGACATGCGAGAAGAGTAATTAACATGAGTGTAATTGGAATGGCGCATTAATTAACAAATTATTTTTAATGCTTTATGTTTTCTCGACAGGAGGCGTAACTTGTAGAGTCATGTGGCTTTAGTTTCTCTCTTTAGCGGAAGTAGAGAAATAGGAAGGCTTGCAAATATTTGATATATGAGTGCCTTATAAGCTAGGGTTTTCAGTGCCGTTGGTGAAAAGTGTGCTTAAGCTAATTCCCTGCATCAATTTATTGCAACATCAAGTAATAACTACAACTATGCAAGCACAATATGGAGTCGATGGTCAGGAATAAAGTTTAATAATTTGCGGTTCCATTACTATGAATTATTTCCTTGTTTTATGCTAATTAGCATTTTATCCATTTCCATAATTAGACACTGACCTTGTCTTCAATTTCAAGCTACATTTTTGATAGCTACTTCAGATACATAATTTTAATGTACAGTTGAATCTGATTAGGACTTTAGAAAATTTGATAAAGTGAATGCTTATTTGGTATTGAATTATTTTGAAATGCTTGCCTGTGGCGTTTCATTAGTTTTAGTCAATTAGAGTCAAATCACAACAGTCGATACATTATTAAGCATATAATTCTCATCCATGACTACCAAAACATAAATATTCGCAAACATTCTCAGAGAGACTTCTCGCAAAATCAACACAAATCATCGAAACCAACAACAAATTGATTATCAAGAGCACAATAACTTTCATTTAAATGACCTCAAACATTAATTCATTCTCAAACCACAATAAATACTATGTACAATTAGGACTTACTACTAAGCACCTCAAACTGATAATAAAAGCAAACAAGTTATATATTTACAAAAGTCGTCTTTATCTTTTTATTGCACTCAAATAATTTCTCTGCTACAAAAATAAATTTTGTTGACAGCTATAAGCCTCAACCTTCGACGACTTTATTGACAATTTTTCCAATTCCTTCAATTTCACTTTCAATCAGATCTCCAGCTTTAAGGAATTCTGGTGGACTTCTATGCATTCCAACACCAGATGGAGTTCCTGTCAAGATGACATCCCCAGGAAGTAAAGTAATTGATTGTGTGACACGTGAAATGATGTCTGGAATATCAAAGATCAATTCACTAGTTCTGCCACTTTGTTTCTGGACTCCATTAACGCTGCATGTAATTGGAAGATCACTTGGATCAATAACTGATTTGTGGATCACAGATGGACCTAATGGACAAAATGAATCCATACTTTTTCCGATTAAGAATTGCCCACCATTTCTCATCTTTTGCCAATCACGAGCTGAGATGTCTTGAGCAACGCTATATCCAAAAACATAGTCAAGAGCATTTTCCTTGTTAACATGGAATGCTTTCGATCCAATAATTACAGCAAGTTCTACTTCCCAGTCAATTTGATCACTAATCTTATGTGCAATGACATCACCATATGGTCCAGTTAGAGCTGATGCATACTTGCTGAAGAACATTGGCTCTTTTGGATATGGCTTGTTCTGTTCATCACAATGTCCACGATAATTCAATCCAACGCATAAGATCTTTTGAGGCTCCGTGATTGGTGACAAAATTTCAACATCCGAAGTTTTGACAGATTTCAGACCAGATTCCTTTGCTTTGACTTCATCAATGCTTGTTCCCGACTCAATGAAAGTTTTGAGGTCATTTGAAAAACCACTAAGATCTTTAATTTCACTTCCGTCGTCCGAAAAGATGCCTAGAAGTTGTTTCTGGCTATTCTTTTCTTTGTATTGAACGAATTTCATGTTTATGGCAGCTGAAGAACTAAAGTTTAATATGATTCTTAGATTATCTGAGCGACAAAAATAAATTTATTGCATACCGAAAATTTCTGATAAGTAGATTTTGTTGTTTCCAAGCGGCACCAATGATTTTAACTGGAAAAGTTAATGTTTTCATTTTTCCAAAGTGTTTTTATGATTTTAAAATTTTCTTTGGATATAAAAGTGGAGGAATCCTTGATGTTTGGATAAGGAAGATGGTTCTGTATTGTCTTATGTGATGATAATTTGTGTTAATTATGTTTGACAAGTTCTTATGTCAGTCTTATTAATTTATAAAATTTTTGCAGTAACAAGATGAAGATATACATAAAACTTCCAATGGAACAACTTGAAAATTGGACTTCAGGGTTTGAGTTTTAAAAGTTCGTTATGGAAACTTAATTAATAGGTTTTTGGTAACAATCATGCTTCAAATTAGTTTAAGTTTTGCAAAACCTTGATTTAGTTCAAGTTCAGCAAATTTCTGTTCATAAAGCTAGGTACACCTAGGTTATCTTTTATTGATCAAAACTTCCAAAATTTGATGTGATTTTACTATAAGCTTATCATCATATAGTGACCGTATTTTGTTTACTATACTCGAATCCTAATCTTAGCTTACTTAATCGTTCAGTTATCTGTTGCCATTTTTATGACCATATATCAATATTGATAGCATTTTAATTGATCCTATATAAATTTGGTTCCTAGTCGAAAATTATTGAATCGTTTGTGGCTCGTGAAGTAGGCAAGATGAATACGGCGACAAAAGCATTTTTTGGTTTATTATCTTTAGTATCGTTAGCAGCACTTGTCGTTGGAATTATTGCTATTGTTCAAGTAAATCAAAAAAGTGACGAGACCACCCAAGCACCAATAGAAACTACCACTGGATCAGGATCAACTACAACTGAACTTCCACCAGCATCTGAAAAAGACTTTGCAGATGATTTCGATTTTGGAGCTGCAACGTCAGCTTATCAAATTGAAGGTGCATGGAATGTAGATGGAAAAGGACGAAATATTTGGGATATAGCAGTTCATGATCATCCAGAAATAATTAGAGACAATACCACAGGTGATAGTGCTGCTGATTCTTATTATCATTATAAAGAAGATGTTAAGGCACTTAAAGCTTCTGGTGTGAGTATTTTTATCGCTTTGAACATTCTCTAATCACATGATATAATGTGTGTGAATTTGTTTACAGTTCAAATTCTACAGATTCTCTATTTCTTGGTCAAGAATCCTTCCTGAAGGCATGCAACCAAATGAACTAGGAATTCAATACTACAATAATTTGATTAACGAACTTATTGCAAATGGAATCAAGCCAATGATTACGATGTATCACTGGGACTTGCCAGAATATGTTCAACAAGTTGGTGGCTGGACAAACTCTTTAGTTGTGGATTATTTTGAACAATATTCGAACTTAATCTTTGAGAGATTTGGTGATCGTGTTAAGACATTCATTACATTTAATGAACCATTTATATTTTGTGAGCGTGGATATGGAAGTGGAATATTTCCACCTTTAGTAAAATCACCTGGATTTGGTGAATACATGTGTGGTCATAATGTCTTATTAGCTCATGCTAGAACCTATCGTAATTATCAACTCAAGTTCCATGCAAGTCAATTAGGTAAAGTCGGAATCTGCTTGTATAGTGACTACTCCTATCCAGCAGATAGTTCCGCTGCAGCTGCCAATCTTGCAAATCAGGCAATGAATCATATACTTGGATGGTTTGCTCATCCAATATTTTCAAATGAAGGAAACTATCCACAAATTATGATTGATAACATTAAAAGAAACAGCGGTGATCGTCCATGGTCAAGACTTCCACAATTCACAGCTGCTGAAATTGAATTAGTTAAAGGAAGTGCCGACTTTCTAGCACTTAATTACTACACAAGTCGACATGTTAGACCAAAGGTCAATTATCCAGAAGAATACGGTTGGGAAGATGATGCAGGAGTTGACAAGTATGTAGATGCAAGATGGGAACGAGCAGAATCAAGTTGGCTTTATGTTGTACCTGAAGGACTTCATGATTTATTAGTATGGATCAAGCAGAACTATGACAATCCAACAGTTATCATTGCTGAAAATGGATATTCAGATACTGGAGAAATTGAGGATGATAAGCGCATCAGTTACATTAAGAGACACTTACAAGCAGTAAAGGATGCAATAAGTGAAGGCTGCAATGTTGTTGGATACACAGTTTGGTCATTGGTTGATAACTTCGAGTGGCTTGAAGGCTTCCATGAAAGATTTGGAATTTACTATGTTGACTTTTTCACCAAAAAGAGAATTCCAAAGAAGTCAGGCAAATACTTTAAGGATTTGATAACTTCTAGAAAGATATGAGCGGGACCAAAAAGCAATAAATTGGTTATTCTATTTATATTTCAAGTGAGCGTCTGTGTGGTCCTGATTTAGCAGTTTCAATGTCAATATGACTTAATGACGACGGCTTACTGCTGTAGTGAACGTTTAGTGCTGAGTTCAAATCAAATTCTAAGCTACATCAGGGCCATACTGATGCTATTCGTTTTTGTCACTTTCGGGCTAGATTACATTGATCCTTAGTATATTCACTTCAGTTAAAGCTAGTCAATTGACATTAATTATCAATTAATGATTAATACATCCATTGTTGATATGATTGTACTACGAACATATCATCAAGTAGTGACTGCATTTTGTTTACTATATTACAATCCTAATCTTAACCATTCGGTTATCAATTGCCACCATTCACACGACCACATATCAATATTGATAGCATTTTAATTGATCCTATATAAATTTGGTTCCTAGTCGAAAATTATTCAATCGTTTGTAGCTCGTGAAGTAGGCAAGATGAATACGGCGACAAAAGCATTTTTTGGTTTATTATCTTTAGTATCTATAGCAGCACTTGTCGTTGGAATTATTGCTATTGTTCAAGTAAATCAAAAAAGTGACGAGACCACCCAAGCACCAATAGAAACTACCACTGGATCAGGATCAACTACAACTGAACTTCCACCAGCATCTGAAAAAGACTTTGCTGATGATTTCGATTTTGGAGCTGCAACGTCAGCTTATCAAATTGAAGGTGCATGGAATGTAGATGGAAAAGGACGAAATATTTGGGATATAGCAGTTCATGATCATCCAGAAATAATTAGAGGCAATGCCACAGGTGATAGTGCTGCTGATTCTTATTATCATTATAAAGAAGATGTTAAGGCACTTAAAGCTTCTGGTGTGAGTATTTTTATCGCTTTGAACATTCTCTAATCACATGATATAATGTGTGTGAATTTGTTTACAGTTCAAATTCTACAGATTCTCAATTTCTTGGTCAAGAATCCTTCCTGAAGGCATGCAACCAAATGAACTAGGAATTCAATACTACAATAATTTGATTAATGAACTTATTGCTAATGGAATTAAGCCAATGATTACAATGTATCACTGGGACTTGCCAGAATATGTTCAACAAGTTGGTGGCTGGACAAACTCTTTAGTTGTGGATTATTTTGAACAATATTCAAACTTGATCTTTGAGAGATTTGGTGATCGTGTTAAGACATTCATTACATTTAATGAGCCTTACATATTTTGTGAACATGGATATGGAAGTGGGCATGAACCACCATTAGTTAAATCTCCAGGTTTGGGTGTCTACATGTGTGGTCATAATGTTTTATTGTCACATGCTAGAACCTATCATAACTATCAACTCAAATTCCGTGCAAGTCAATTAGGTCAAGTCGGAATCTGTTTGAACAGTGAATTCTTCTTTCCACAAGACAACTCAGCTGCAGCTATAAATCTTGCAAATCAGGCAATGAATCATATGTTTGGATGGTTTGCTCATCCAATATTCTCACAGGAAGGAAACTATCCACAAATCATGATTGATAATATTAAAAGAAACAGTGGTGATCGTCCATGGTCAAGACTTCCAGAATTCACAGCTGCTGAAATTGCAATGATTAAAGGAAGTTCTGATTTCTTAGCAATCAATTATTATTCAAGTCGATATGTTAGACCAAAGGTCAATTATCCAGAAGAATACGGTTGGGAAGCTGATGCAGGAATTGATAAATACATAGATGCAAGATGGGAACGAGCAGAATCAAGTTGGCTTTATGTTGTACCTGAAGGACTTTATGGTCTCCTAAAATGGATCAAGGATAATTACAACAATCCAACAGTCATTATTGCTGAAAATGGATATTCAGACACAGGTGAGATTGAAGATGATGGACGCATTAGCTACATTAGGAAGCACTTGCAAGCTGTAAAAGATGCTATGGATGAAGGTTGCAACGTTGCTGCATACACAGTCTGGTCACTACTTGATAACTTCGAATGGCTTCAAGGCTTCCATGAAAGATTCGGAATCTACTATGTTGACTTTTTTACCAAAAGACGAATTCCAAAGAAATCTAGCAAATACTTTAAGGAATTGATAACATCCAGAAAGATATGAGGTATTACCAAACACCAATAAATTGCTTATAATTATTATATTTCAAGTGCTACTATTAAGGAGTGTAAGCTGTAAGCGCACATGGAGTTTAACTTTAAGCTGATAAGAAGTTTGTATTTTTGTGATTTTTACAGTGATGATAAAGTTGAATTTTGAGAACCTTAAATTTATGCAATTTTTAATGAGTTGATATTTGAAGTTGAGAATTTTGTTGGTAGATGTCGCTATGTGTGCTCAAACTTTGAATAAAATTCCTTGAAATTAGACATAAATGAATTTTGGAGCTTACAGGACTTGAAATGATTGCAATCTACTATTAGATTAGCTCATAAGCTAATCGCTGTCCTAATTAATTTTAGAGTTCATGACATCATAGCTTAATCAATGAATTTATTCTAATATTACTCAAGCCCCAGCAATTCTTATCAAATTTCAATGCCCACTCTAGCCTACCTTCTAATCAAACTTAACCAATTCAATCCAATTCTATTTCTCTTCCTTACATAAATAATTCAAATTTTTCTCATTCTTTAAACTAGATAATGAAGAGAATGTTGCATGTTATATGCTGCTTACTGTTCTTCCTGGTTAGTTTTTTTCCTCTGTTTGCGTGACGATAAGTTTACTGATATGATTCTTTCTTATTATTGACCATTCCATTCCATTGTACGGTGAAATATTTATGTTAGTAAGAGCAAGAATGTTGTGATTATTGCACAGTTCTGTTTCGAGTAGTTTATGGATGATTGCTTTTGGTTGAGGTTGTGTCAGTTCTGTTTTAATTCTTTAACTTATAAGAAGATGCTGATCTGACTAAGCCTTTGTTTTTATCGTTTTTATCAAATAATTTGCATTCTGGGAGTTTTGATCAAACTATAATTCCTTCATAAATTCATAAGTTACACAACCAGATCTTCATAAAAATCCAATTATTACAATGACATGGGTAAACCATTCAATTTGAAATTAATCTCATCTCCAAACTGTTAATATTAGATCAGCAAATAACAAAACAGTTGGTAGAAAGCTATTTAAATCATGCCATAATAATTATTTCATATATGAAGATGTTTTTTAAATTTGATTATATTGCACAATGTTTCATAATTTTTTTGCAAAAAGAGTTAATGCGAATTATGATGAGCTAGTGAAATATGGAGTTAAAATGGTTGCTGTATTCAGAAGTAAATCCAATAAGTCTGTTATTCAATTAAGAAATAAATTGAAATATGTGTGAAGATTATTGTTGTTGGGAAAATGCAAATTGGATTGAATAGATGATTTGATAAAGATTTACAGCTATTGTGTTATTAAATGTAAATTAAGACTTACTCAAGTTAATGAGCTAGCGCTAGTCTCATCCTGAAATACAAAAGACTAAGAACAATAAAAACTTGATAATTATTTTTTCAATATTTTCATATCAACCTAGTTTATTTTATTTTAAAATATGTTTTTTTTTTAAATAATACAAATCACAAATCTTTCTTGTAATAGGAAATAAATTTTGTTTTCATAACCTAACAATCTATATTGTCAAAGTTTCTAATAATTTCACATTCAATCTCATTCAAAAATTTTTCTTATAATTTAATGACTAATATCACAGTAAAATTGTCTTAATTTAATTAATCAATCGGAATTCTGAGTGCATCGGGAATGAGGTTTTCTCGACTAAGTAGCAACCTAATTAGGCAAGTCTAGGCAATATTTGAACTACTAAGTTTAATCAAGCAAATCCAATCCACGACCACCCGACCTCTATGTCTCTAATAATGAAATATTGACTTTAAATCAAATGAGGATGATCATTCATCAATTCAATCTTACAAAGTGTAAATATCTAGGACAAGATGAAATAATATTCTCTAAATATAATCAGTTGATTGTCTAAATCGACTAGAAATGAGAAAATAACAAAATTCATTTTCCTCCTCAATTTACAATATTAATTTTTTTCTTTTAAAATCTATAAAATCACTTTAAATATTTTCTAATTTCATCTTCTATTTGTCATCTCGCACTTCCATCATACGCTACTATCAATTCTTTAAGGTTCACTTGCACTGCATGAACATTTTGCAATTGATTAAATTTGTTATTGTCAACTCTTAATTGATTTCGATTATTTGACATTGTTGATGCTGCTGATTGTGCTGCTTTTGAGTGGTGAAATCTGTGAATTAAATTGAATGGAAAAATTGGAAAATTAATTAAAATGCCTAATAAATTTTTGGATGCATGCAGAGTTGAGAAATAGGATGTAGCACGGTTGATGATGGTTTCAAAATTCAAAACTACAAAATAAACCATATCATCTGAACCTAGCCCCATATTCCCACCCCTGTAGTCCTCTGTATCAAATAGACAATATCCAAAAATAAATCCAAAACAATACTCACTTATTCCACCATATAAAACTATAGACGCCTCCAATTATCACAATGATGGATGCCACAACAGCAAGACTAATGAGTGAATAATTTAACAAATTATCTCCATTCTGTTGCGAATTAGAAATTTCTAAATGATGAATCTCATTTTCTGTTTCAAGTGGTGCAAAAATTCCATCAACCGGTGATCGAACTAAGCGCGAAATAGCAGCCGTAACCTGTGTCTGAATGCTTACATCCAAAAGAGAATTGGCGAGAGCACTTGAGTTTCTCAAAAGAATCGTTTCAGTCTTTGGATCAATGACATAAAACCAAGTATCCGTTGAGTCTGGCAGTTCAATTATTGATCCATTTTGAGTCAGTGATTTTCTGTTTGAGAACTTTTCAATTGATGCAAATAAGCCATTAGCTTTTTCAGTCAGAACATCTTCAAGATTCTGCTTGTAACGTTGCACTTCATTTGGACTTGATTCAGAAATGGCAACAGTAAGACGATTGTAATCGGATATAACATTTACAATGACACGTGCATATGACCGGTGAACGACTCCTGCATCCTTTCCGTAATTGTCAATTGCTTCGACTTTAAACAAGAAATGTCCATCAACAATTTTATGTAATGGCTTTCTCGTTCTTATAACACCTGTGTCGGTAATAATGAAGTAAGAACTTGGAAGTTCGTCTTTGAATAGTCCATTAGTAGCATCGTCATCGACCAATCGATATTTAATTAATCCAAATGTACCGGAATCTTCATCGTATGCTACAACTTTCAATACAGTTGTACCGATCATACTATCGTAATTAACGACACCATAATATGTGTCATTTCTCATAAAGCGTTTACTGTTAGCATTACCATTATGTCGAAACTTGAATACTGGTGCATTATCATTTGTATCTTGTACGAGTATCTTTAATATTGCCACACTTTTTAATTGATTCACTCGCTGTTTACTAGAATTTAATTTAATTTTCAACTCATGTGTTGTCTTATTCTCAAAGTCTAATCCCTCTCTTAATTTGACAGCACAGGCTAAATCTTCAATTATAACAGCAAATAAATTCATTTCATTTCCGGCTATGATTTCACATGAGAAAGCATTTTTAGTTCTTGTTGATTTCTTTACATTAAAAATGGGAATTAACTTAATTGTGGCATTAATACTCGTCGATTCCGGAATATTTGTAACATATGCATCATCACCAAATGCTAAGCCCAACTCTTCTGTCGATTCTTGAACAGTAACCGTTGTCGATTCATAACTTTTATTTGGAATGTGCTTAACAAAGACGATTAATGTTGATACGGAACTTAATTGTGGCTCGCCAAGATCATAAGCACGTACATTAATCTCATATTGATTTGCTGTGTCTTTTCTTAAGTCATCTTTAATGCGAATATTGCCATTTTCAGGGTCGATGTGGAAGAATTTTAGTGCTTTACCATTTCCAGTCATCTCATAACGTACGACATTACCAGGCGATGTTGAGTCTGTATCTACGGCTGGCATCGATGCAATTAAACTGCCAACTAATTGATCGTCTGTAATACTGACGGGCTCAGGTGTGATGAGAAAAACTGGCGCGATATCGTTGCGATCTTCAACGCTGACTTTTATTTTAATGATGTCTCCTGGATTTTTCCCATCATTCTCCATTGTACCAACAATCAGCTCATGCACAGATTTTGTTTCATAATCCAACTCTTGCTTTGTTCTTATTTCACCAGTTTGTTGATCAATTTTGAAGAATTCCTTTGATGGATTTTTCTTAATGACATAAGTGACTGACGGAACTAATTCAGGATTTCCTATTTTAACCATAGCCACAAGTGCATCAACAACATTCTCAGGCACTTTTGCATCAATTTGTGTCTTATTAAAAATTGGCAAAATATTTGGAATGTCTTTGACTGAAATTTTAATCCTTATTTCCGATGATAATGGAGTGTCACCTTGGTCTGAAGCTTTAACCATAAACTCATATTCACTTTGCTTCTTAAATGCCAATTTTTCTCTCGTATAAATTTCGCCCGTCTCACTATTAATTCTGAATGGTACACTCGATGGTAATGAATATACGACATCGCCATTTCTTCCTTCATCAATGTCATATGCTTGCACCATACCAACCAATGCGTTTAATTTACCTTCATCAACTGAAAATAAATATGGTAATGTCGATTCATCATAGATTGGCGGATTATCATTGGCATCAAGTACTTTAATGTTCACAACAGATGTTGTGTATAAGCCACCAGTGTCCTCGGCACGAACCAACAATTGATATTTCGTAAGAGTTTCACGATCTAATTTACGAATAATTGTTATTGCACCATTGTCTGAATTAATTTTAAATTGACGTAGATCATTACCCGAAATGATTGAATAATGTATGGGATCTGTTTCAGGATCATCGGCATGAACATTAACAACAGATGAATTGATTATTGATGACTCATTCACGGCAATGTCATAAATATTTTTATTAAAGACTGGTGGCTTCGTATTTGGACCAGCAATCACACCAACTAGTAGATTTGTATCAGAATAAAGACCACCACCGTCAGTCGCACGAATTGTTATATTCCAAATTTCATTTGCTTTCAGCCGTCCATCCGAATAAATTTCACCAGTTTTCTCATCGATCGTAAACTTTTGTTTAACTGTTTGATTTGGAAACGAGAAAGTTATTGATGCATTAATACCAGCATCAATATCTTTTGCAAGTGCCTGAGCAACTAGTCGTTTTGAATTCCCAGCACTTATTGTTACAGGTTGCATCTCATAGATTTCTGGTTCATTATCATTTAAATCGAGTATTGTTACATTGACACTAAGTGGCGAACTAGCAGCATTTCCATGAATTTCACGCGCAATGACTTGAAATAAAAGCTTTTCAGACTTCTCACGATCTATTCCTGAACTATCGTTGACTATTAAGTATCCGTCCTTATTGACAGAAAATAAATTTGTTGTTGATTCAAATGAATAAATTGGAAGTTCGACATCTGTTGAATAATCTTCATCCTTTATGCTAAATTTAATCGGATTATTATTGTGTATGCTTAGCACTCTCGTTCCGATTTGTGCATTCTCCTCAACGACACCCGTCAAGTCTGATGCAATTATAACGGGTGGATAGACATCAATAGGCTTTACATTTATTGTCAGTTTAGCTGTTGTAAATCGTTTCTGCTCCGTTACTTCCTCTGCTTTAATTGTTATAACAAATTGACGGTCTGATACTGTCGAATCGACTAACTTAATTTGTCTTATATCGGCACTAAGCTCATCAATTTGAAAGTATTGACTGTAAGTATTTGGAGTTCCATCAATAAATTCATATCTCAATGTAGCATTTAGTGCATCTAAGTCGATAGCTTTAATTGCTTGTGGCATGATATGTAAGCTTTTTTGTACCGTGCCAGGTACGATCGTGGCTGTATACTCAGGATTAATACAGCTTCCATCAAAATATAGGCAATCATCATAGATGAATGATGGATCGAGATCATCGACATCCTCTACATTTATTACAAGTGTTGTTGTTGCCGATAATCTTTCTGACACATTTCTAGCACGATCCTAGTGGAATTAAAATGAGAGGAATAAAAAAATATAAAATAAAGAATTAATGAGATTTAACATGAGTCCATAAAAATTGTAAGATTATCAAAGTTAAATTGTGTGTAATGCAAAAGTCAAAGAATTTACGATCGATGTTCAATGCAGAGCTGCGAAACAGGCACCTGTGACAGGTGAGAACCCTACAATTCCTTGATAATTTATAAGGTTTTTCTAACAAAACCATACAAATTACCAAGGAATTGAAAGGTTCTCACCTGTCACAGGTGACCTGTTTCGCAACTCTGGTTCAATGTTTGTCTTTTTTACCTCTTCTTGCATTTTAGCGTGATTTTCAAAATAGGACTTTATATGAATTTGTTTGTCTGTCTGACGGCAATACTCGAAATTCTTATGAATGAATTTTTGCAATTGTAGAAACAAATTCTTGTGAAGTATATAATTTTATACAAAATCTTAGAATCTTCCTCTTGTGAAGTTTAAAATTTCAGGCAGAATCTTATGAGAACTGAAGATTGAGTCTCGACTTTTCTTTCATTACTCATCTGACTACATCTCCAAGTTCGCATCTCAAGAAAAATACGCTTAAGCGCCACATCCTCAAAAACCTCCTTACTTGCTCCTTCTGACGATGATCTCATGAGAGTTGTAAAATGCAAAGCTACATAACATTTCCGCGATTCAAAATGTGTAATGCTTGACAACGTCCAAACCCGTGTATGCAAAAAATAAATACACAAAAACCGATCAGTTAATTGAATATTCGAGTCACGTTATTTAGATTAAAAGAATCACGAAAAATTGTTTTTATGTGTTTAATGATCCAATAGCGTTTTTTTATTGTTACTGATTTAGTTCTCTTTAACTGCCATTCATTGTTTGTAACAATATCTTGTTTTCCATATCAGCTATTTAAATTTTTCTTGAGCCCATTCTTACAAGTTTATTTACTAATTCCCTTTTTCTCTGCTTTAAATTATTATTAAATCAGCATATGTTTGACATCATGTCACATACTTTATGAGCAACTGAGTAAGTTTTAACGATAAGTACATTATAAGGTTGTTATTTGTATATACCTTAAAGTCTATAAGGTGCGCGCAGTTCGTTTAGACGCACTTAATTTTTTTCAAATTTTCCTTTAATAAACACTATTAAGACAAAAACTATTTTATGTGTTTATAGCTATGACCAATTAGGTTATAAATATAATAAAAGTATCTGACTAAATGCTTTGCTTAAGTAATTAAAATAATTTTTTCAAAAATTACAACAACAAAGTGCGCAGTTCGTTTAGACGCACTTTGAAAAATCTAAAATTTTGTCTTATTTACGTTTCGTAGAAAACTTAATCGTTTCTAATATTAATCTATCAACAAAAACGAGTAATTACTGAGGGTTTTAGAATTTTCCATCAAGTTTTTCCAGAGATTTTCCTTCATTAAAGTTTTCATGTTGCAAAAATTTTGATAAATTATTTATCCAATAATTTTGCGTTAAATTATTATTCTTTTAACTGATTTCCATAGATAATTGTCCATAATATTAGAAAATTAACAGATATTTAAGCTTTCTCATAAGTATAAGGCGAAAATATGTGAAAAATATAATTATGGTGAAAAATTTCCACCACTCTCATAGATTAATCAACAAATTTTGACAAAACTGTAGATACCATAATAAATTTGAATAGACCAGCTTATTTATCGTATTAAACTTAGTTAAAAACAGAAAACTGCACAGCTCTATGGCTAATGGAACTTGAAAATTTTACTGAAAAATTAAGTTGTGGTGAAAAAATTCACCATAGAAAAATAAAATTTTAAAAAAACAATGTCTAAGGTTTTAATTCATGTTTTAAATTGATTAATTTTGAGACAGAAACACTTTTACAACCTAATTTAAATGAAACAATTGCCTAAAACAACGTTTTTTAAAATTTTATTTTTCTATGGTGAATTTTTTCACCACAACTTAATTTTTCAGTAAAATTTTCAAGTTCCATTAGCCATAGAGCTGTGCAGTTTTCTGTTTTTAACTAAGTTTAATACGATAAATAAGCTGGTCTATTCAAATTTATTATGGTATCTACAGTTTTGTCAAAATTTGTTGATTAATCTATGAGAGTGGTGGAAATTTTTCACCATAATTATATTTTTCACATATTTTCGCCTTATACTTATAAGAAAGCTTAAATATCTGTTAATTTTCTAATATTATGGACAATTATCTATGGAAATCAGTTAAAAGAATAATAATTTAACGCAAAATTATTGGATAAATAATTTATCAAAATTTTTGCAACATGAAAACTTTAATGAAGGAAAATCTCTGGAAAAACTTGATGGAAAATTCTAAAACCCTCAGTAATTACTCGTTTTTGTTGATAGATTAATATTAGAAACGATTAAGTTTTCTACGAAACGTAAATAAGACAAAATTTTAGATTTTTCAAAGTGCGTCTAAACGAACTGCGCACTTTGTTGTTGTAATTTTTGAAAAAATTATTTTAATTACTTAAGCAAAGCATTTAGTCAGATACTTTTATTATATTTATAACCTAATTGGTCATAGCTATAAACACATAAAATAGTTTTTGTCTTAATAGTGTTTATTAAAGGAAAATTTGAAAAAAATTAAGTGCGTCTAAACGAACTGCGCGCACCTTAGCTAATGAGATTTAAACTTAACCATATTTAAGCATGACATGTTGGCTGAGCATTATTTTTAATTTCGCGATATTTTGTGTTGTGGGAATTAAGTGAGTTGTTTGGGAATTTTTAATTGGCTGGACTATGTTTTGAGCAGATGCTGTGGATTTTGGCACTTTAAAGTCGTCTTAATTAAGTGATTAGAATTCACACTATCAATAGCTCTTTGTGATGATTGTGAATCAGATTCTGATGGGTATTGAACCTACGTTTATCATGAAAATGAAGATTATAAACCATTCGACCACAGCGGCTTAACTTTTACAATGCCAAATTGGATAAAGCTTAATAACTCATTTCCCATTCTTTCATGACATCACTAATCTTAAATAAGAATCGAACACATGCTTAAATGAATTTAAAATTTGATAATGACAGAATTGATGATTAGCATAGCTTTGACTTCTCAATGCTAATCAATTTAGCTTGTAGAACATCATCCAAACGAAAAAGCGCCTAAACTACACCCTTTTACACCTTCCTAACCTCAAAACAAAATTCCTTCACATCAACATCAACTAAATTAAAGAGGCATTGAGCTTAGTTACTAAGCATTAAGCGCCACATGAAGGAACACATCAAGAGATTTTCGCAACAATATATTTTTTTCTCTCAATCGGTCTCTCATTGCTCATTTACTTCTATTTATGGACATTTATAAAGATTTTTTTTTTTGGGATCGTATATGGATGAAATCGAGATTGTTTTCGCGTGACTCAAGCAAATTATCTTAATGTATTATTGAATCAAAAAACTTATAAAGTTTTATGATGAAGATTAATTTGTTATCATTTGCACAACCACAGCATCATCATCATCATCAATGCATAGCTGAATAGGTAAAAAAAACCCATTGAAGAGTTCAATTCATTGAATCAATTGCAATTACCTCGGGTATTATATTAAGTCTATAAAAAAAAGTAAGTGCTAAAAAAATGTGCAACTTACCGATGCTACTATTGTTAAGTAATAACGCTGTACTCGCTCATAATCCAAAGTTTTTACAACCGTGACCTATAAAAAGGAGATGAAAATTACAATCATTTGTGGTTTTTCTCACATGCACTTTATGTAGCGCACAGTTATACTCATTATTTATCATTAAACAATAAATGGGGGTCAATTCACTTATGACGTTCAAAATAGAAGACGGGAATCTCATGTTGCTTAAGCAGTAGCTTCTTAAGCATTATGAGATATAAAGTAGGGTACTTAAGGGATTTTCCAATTGACATCATATGATAACGACCCCTCAACTAGGTCAGTAATACTTACATCTCCCTGATGTGGATATGAAATGGCAAATGTGCCATATCCATCTGCTACTGATAATGTATCATTGCTATCAGTCTTGTAAGTAAAATCTCCTTCAATTATAAAATATTCAACTGCTCCATTCACGCCCGCATCAATGTCTGTTGCCTTTATACTGTTAAAAATTGTTGTGCCCACGGGAGTTGACTGTAAATATTCAATTCACATGAATTATAAATATATCAATTATAGATGTTTTAGGAATTATGAATGAAATAAATTGCAATAAAATTGAAATTAGATTATACAAGTTGTGCATTTGTTATTAAATGCAGTAGCTCACACTAGGTGCATTTATCAATGGACATTATATCGACGTCTATCTGTCTTGTTGCAAAACTCTGACTTGACTCTTATATACTTTTTTTCTTCTTATTAATGTTGAAATTGTATTTTATTTCATTGCTGCTGCTGCTCACTCGCAGATGGGATATAAGCAGGCAATTCATAATCAATTAAAAGAAGTAATGAATTTCAAGTACGTGCATCATAATTATAGGAGAATGTCGTGACAATTTTTCACACAACATGCTATAACAACATGTCAATGAGTTTTTAGCGAGTTATGAGGGGGAATTTTTATGCAATGTTGAATGGATTTTGTGAATATTGGGTTGTAATTGTCTGGCTTGATTAGTGGCAAAGAAAAAGTGCAACGGATTCGAAGTGGGAATCGAACCCACGTCGTTTGATTTACTGTCGCATGCTTCTGCGACTAAGTGATTGGAGCATCACTCGAATGTGTAATCAATGTGGCATTATACAGTTCTGTTTTAAATTCAAAGGGTACCAAAGGATGCAGGCTTCCAAAGGATGCAGTAAGTACAGCGATTCTCAATTTTAGGGCAGGTAAACAAAAGTAATATTTATAAATAAAGCATCCTTTGCAATGTTTAGACATCATTGATGCACGACCCCCCAAAAAAATATTTTAACATTTTGACAATTCAGATGAAAGTTTGCACGACTGCCTCCAGAAACTGCCCCAAATTTTGCATCAACAAGCCAATAACAACAAAACAAGCCATTCTTCACTTCCGACTAATCTACATGTTTCTCATTACAATCAAATCTCTTGTACCTAATCAAACTAAATTTCTAGACCCCATTTAAAAATTGTCTATCAACAAACAAAACCCGCCTCATGCCAGATGACTTTCATTTCATTTCATATTTCGCATGGGATTAATAGTGACAGCTAAATGTTGATTGCTGTTATGTTAGCTGATTATTGTCATGATATATACTGATTAATAACCCCGATTTCTTATTACAATAAAAAAAAGGAAAAGTGCGCTACTGTCACAGTAAATGGAATCAAATCAGCTTACATTCCTTACTAATTTCATATTTCTCTTTTTCCAATCTCATTTTATTGACAGTCCAGAAGAATTGAATTGCATATTTGTGCACTATATTTAGGCATGCACATTAAGAAATTTTTTCGTAATTGCTGCTACAGTTGATTATTTGATGAGTTCAGATGAAATGCAGCAATAAAAATTCTTGTCTGTAGTTGACCAGCTTAATGTTAAGTGGCGAACGAGAAGAAATTAAAGGCAGCAAAAATGAGAAAGAGAGATTGAAAGACAACAGCATCGTGCGTCCAAACATGGTATATTGCTGCAGTTGATGTAGAGAAATGAGCATTAGGAGAGGGGGTCGTTTGTAAATGACGTCAAAAATAAAAATTAATTTCTCAAACACTGTTTCAAGGAAGTGATAAACCGGCTACCTGCCATTATGTAAAACATCATTTACGAATAACCCCCAAAGGAAAGAGATGGAAAATTATATATGTGACATGAACAGAAGAAATGGAAAATAAATCGTAAAGAATGAGGAAACTATTTTTCATGTCCATTGACTCTCTGTACAATCTTCTCGCTACACTAACTGTTATGTGATGCAGCAGCAATAATAATAGTTGTAGCTGCAAAATACATAAAGAATACTAAAAAAACATTTCCTAATGGACGATGAATGTCGGCAAATAGTTGAGACGCGATATTGAAAAAAAAAAGCCATGTTGCAGCAACACTTCATAAAGCATTTTAGGACATAACAAGTTTTGCCGTTTTTTATTTCATTGCTAATGAATTTTTTCACTTATTTACTCGCATGCCTGCACACAAGTAATGTGTGGAAAGAGAATTGAAAATTGATTTTATGAAAAAAAATTTTGAATATTTTTTTTTGCATTCATTTCCTTTTATGTGAGCTGCATTTTAAAAAAGGTTTTTCTGCATAATGTTTTCAGTTGAAAATTTTATCTACTTTGTGTGTTAGAGACTGAGGCTGTTCAGGTGTTGCAATTATTCATTTGTCTGTGCCGAAGCTATTTTGATTGTGGAATTTAAGTGATTTTGTCCGAGCTGTGGATGAGTTTTGAGGAGACTTGAGTGAGTTTAGAATGGAAATACCAATTTTTTGGAAAAATCAATTGACTGTATGTTCTGATGTGTGCCACTGTTTAGCAGGTTTATACTAGCTTATTGTATTTAAAAGAATCTCACCCGAATGGCATACATAAGTTAAACGGTTAAACGATCAGAAATCCGGAACCAAGACGGTGTTTCTCTTTCGTGGTACTAGATTTAAATTGAAGCAGGCACCGTGCCAGATTCATGTCAACCTGGCGCTGGATTTATATTCGATTAACCGACTTGTGCCATTCACGTCAATAACAGAAGTTAAGAACTAAGAGGCAAGCTTACGGTAGGGTGACCATTTGCGTAGTTTTACAACGGACAGTCCTGTATTTCAAAACCCTGTCCTGTATAAATTTGAAAATTTTGTTCCAGGTCCTGTATTTTTTTCACGAAATTTTCCGTTAATTTTCAAATTTTCCTGTGTGTCCTGTATTTTTTAGGAGATTTATCAAATGTCCTGTATTTTCATAAAAATTAGATGGTCACCCTAGCTTATGGTCGCTGTGCTGGTGTATACCCGATTACCATGATACTTTGAGACACAAAACTCCTTGATATTGAAAAATTTTCATCAAATATTACAAACCGAGCTGATTCATCTGCGAAACATTGTAAATGGCCAATAGATTCATGTACAATTGACTATAGATCCATGTCCATTTATCACAAAATATTGAATACCATCTAAATTAGTCATGCAAACCCTGGTCACTCAAACAAACCAAAAGAATTGCTCACAGAAATAGAAAAACTCAGCAAGATAAACATAAAGAATGACCGTTTCGAATTGATTTTATTTTAGGAAATCTGCTCATTATATTCCTGCTTTGTCAAACATACCTGTCTATTGAGTTATGTCTTTATAACTTCCTCATGAAAAAAAAAATTACATGAATTATACGAAAGTAAAAATAACTCCGTAGTTGTTGTAATGATTATCCACGGTTGAAGGATAAATTCGACTTTTTATGGGCAAAAAAATTAGCAAAAAATTTTTTCTGAGATTTTTATTTGAAAGCAAAATGTGATTGTGCGATTTAATATTCCTATTATAGAAGTACATGCTAGATTGTAAAACAAATATTTGAAGTATTGACTAGCCATGTATGTTTTATACATTGTAATGTAGCTTTTTGCATATTATACTTTAATGCTTTATTCCATAAAGATCGTTTACGAGCTTGAACATTTTTTATTATGCAAAAGAGCAGTCGTGAAACATTGATGCTTCTGTCAATTGATTATTACTTAATTTTACGATCGCAAAAAATAAGATATTAATATTAATCACGATTCCTATGTGAATATATACGTATAAATGGTTTTACATGCACGTCTAATTTATGATAGCTTTATTACATTTCAATAGTAAATCATCTTGAATAATTTTCATATATCACATAATTTAATGGGTAATATAAGGCTTTTAGGGAAATACATGACACCAGTACATAGTCATAAATATAATTTATTGTTAATTTATTTTTCATATTCATGAATATATTTATAAAATTAAATTATCTTTTTAAAAAGCTATTAAAGTTAAAAAAAATATATTTTTAAATTTAAAGACTATTGGCTTTTGATAGCGGGGTTAAAATGGATTTATTAATTTATTTATAGTAATTGTGGATGAGGAAATGAAAGAAAAAAGTTTTTTAAGGCTCTGAATAGTCTGTCAAAGTTCTATCAAGTCGTTGATAGCTATAAAAGGTCTTTCGGTGCTTTAAGTAAGTCAAGACGCTGAGGTGTCTGCAAAGATTTTGGGAGTTTAGTCAAAGGTTTGTGGAGTTTGTTAAGTCTTTACCAAATTTTTCAAAGGTATAAAAAATCTTTCAAGGCTCTAAGGGAGCCAGTCTACACTTTGACCCATGCACAAAGACTATTTACGCTATGTCATGGCTCTTAGCACTTTTTCAGGCTCTTAAAAGGCAGCGAAGACTCTGAAAAACTGTCTAAATGCTCTATGAAGTTGACTAAGCCTTTGCGCAATGTCATAATTCTGAGAAGACTGTAAAAGCTGTCAGCACATATCCAAAACAACTAGACTCCTCTAGCTACACTTTTAGTAGCTCCTACCGTTAAATTAACGATTAACAATATCAGTATGAATATGAGACTTGATTAAGATTGCATCCAAAGTTTGAAAGTTTTTGATGCTTAAAGAAGAATTTTAAAGCTAATTCAAGTCCCAATGCCCCAAATACTCAACTAATCCGATCAAAATCGACACCCACAAAATTTCCAATGTCAATTCAAAACCTCAAATCCAAAGTTTGATTGACAAAAAAAGTTTCATTTCTAACACACTTAAGTCAATTCTCTCCGAGCCAAGCAAATCGATTACCATCTCACAATTTCTCATTAAAACCTATTCAACCGTCAGCTATTGCCCTTCAAACAAAACAGCATGATTTTAACTTCCATCGAAACAATTACTTTGTATCAAATTAAGATTTTTTGTGATTGATTAATCAAAGTCAAAAGTTCGTGCGAGGTTCACACAGCTTTTCAATTTTCATACGGAAGTTTTTCTTTATTTTTTTTCGTTGAAAGCATTTGCACTTTTCGATAGCGATAATTAAAGTCTTTGAGTGATTTAAGATCTTCATAGCTTGCACCTATATATACATTACAGTACGTTGTAAAAGCCTGCAATTATCAACAAATCTTCACTCTCTTGTTTCTTTCTTATTCATCGCTTGTACTTTCTCTTTGTTGTTAATTTCTTTTCGATTGTCTTCAATGAATCGAGAAATGATTGTGAAAGAATATAAAGGGGCCGGATGGAAATGATGTCTATGGTGATATTTGAATTTTGGACAAATGCTGGAACTAGTTGTAGGAATGTCAAGTAGCAATGCATGGTTTTTGGGTGACATTGACTGGTTTCTTAATGAACATTATGTCTTTCCACCTCAACGGTAACAAATAGGAAGTTAATTCTCTTTTGTCCCTCATATTCTACCTCCTATACATTAGCCAGGTGCCATAAGTAGGGTGACCATCTGCGTAGTTTTACAACGGACAGTCCTGTATTTCAAAACCCTGTCCTGTATAAATTTGAAAATTTTGTTCCAGGTCCTGTATTTTTTTCACGAAAATTTCCGTTAATTTTCAAATTTTCCTTTGTGTCCTGTATTTTTTGGGATATTTATCAAATGTCCTGTATTTTCATAAAAATTAGATGGTCACCCTACATATAAGTATACCTAACAACTTCCCTAGGATTCAAAAACCACTGAAGCACAACGTAAACAAAAGCCAAGCCCCCCCCCCTAAATTATTAGACATCACATCCAAATACCTCTCCATCCAATGAAACTAACGAAGTTTGCCTTGGTCAAAGAGGCGATGATGATGATGACGATAATTTACTTTGCATTTCATTTAACAATTCATATGAGAAATTAACCAACAATAACAACAATAGGGAATTTTCGTGTATTAATGTATTTTGTTGTTGTTATTAGAAGAAATTTGACATGCAATGGCACTTAAGAGACAACAAAATTGTTTATAGCCGAAACATGATGAAAACAACTTATTATTGTATATATTGAAGAGAAAGAAAGAAATAGCATCGAAAATTGTGACTTCGTGTCACATCCTAATACGAGAAATGACTTGTTGAATTTTTTTTTATCATGTCACGGATGATCAAAGCGCATACTTGCGGTGAAAAGTCGTTAAATTTTTATTTTAACTTTAATGGGTGCCAGTTGGAGTTACCTAGGAGTAGTTAAAAAGTCGTAAAAGTTGGTGTGACTGTGGGGTTGGTCAGGTTTGTCAGTTTAAGTGCAAGTTCAATGTGATTTATATTGGCTAGGCTAGTTTTTGATGCTTTAAGCTATTTATGGTTGAAATGTCTAGTTCAAGGAATTGCAATAGGGAAGTAGCTTCAGAGAACATGGTTTATAAAGCTTAGAATTGACGAGCTATTTTATTCTCACGTACTCTTGGTCCACCTTGCATTACTGGCTGTCAAAAAAGGTTTTTAAAGCTAGAAACATATTGATGATCTTAAATAAACATATTAACAAGCTAGTCTTAGTTAATTTTTCTAATCTGCATAGATACATTGGTCCCTAGTATATCCATCATCCATAGCCATTACCAAACCCAAACTAACCCAATATGCAGCAAAATAACAAACAATATTCATGCTACATCCACAAAAATCCACTATCTAAGTTCCATAATCACCAATTCAGCCACTAAAAATAACCATTCAAATTAATTTCCTCCTCAACATTCGCAAAAGTGCTTTAAGAAAGAGATTATTAACGACTTAACATTTCATCTCTGCCTCTTTCGAGTCGCACTTGTGATCGCAAAAATGTGAAGAAAATGAAACTTTTTTTTTATTATATGAAAATAAATAAAAATTTCTCTCTCTGTTAATATTTTTTTATGACTTAATCGAGCTATAGGCAAATCGAATATCTTTATTTTGTAATTATATTGACCTTAAACACATAACATAATGCGGCATTACACCATGCTTAGAATCATATAAGCACTCAAGTCCCGTTGGATTTAACAATTAAATTTTTGTGTTTATCTTTGTGTAATTCCTTTATTCTTTTTTGTTCTTACTCTTTCTGCTTTTATCATTCATGAATTTCCTAGCTTGTTAGGGGGTCGTTCTTTAATGACGTCTCAAAACAAGTGAGATTTTTTTAACCTCTTTGCTTTTGCACAGCAGAATTTTCTTATGAAATGTAGAATTCTGTTACAAAATTATTTCAAATTTAATTCAAGACGTTACTAATGGATGACCCCTAATACTCGATACCCAATAATGTGTCTTATTTAGTGCCATATATGAGCAAAAAAATATATCTCATTATCATCCAAAAGAAAAAAAATTGTGTGTGGAAATATTAATGTTCTTTAAGTATCCAGTAAGTAGTTCCAACAAGCGCGAATCAAAGCACACCCGTGGGTGAGGAGATGAATGAAACAATTCTGCAATTCCTACAGTTCATTGTTAAAAATCTGTCGAAAATCAGAATTTTTTTTCTTATTTCATACAATCACTTTTTTATGTGATGATTTATGGACGGTAGCAGCATGAGATTTTTATTTGCTTCTCTCTTTTTGTGTGCTTGTTGAGAAATGCGTGAGCAGAAGTGAACTGTTTTACAGATATTTTATTTCCTTCAACCTTTTCTTTTTTTGGTCTGTGATGGGTAAAAGTAAAGAATATGAGAAAGACAGTGAGTCAGTTAAATGAACGGTAAAGTTAAAGGTTATGGACAGAGTTGTCTATCTGCTGGTGAGTAGTTGATGGTTGATTGTGATTATTTTGGCAAATTTGACATGTTTTGTGAATGATTTGGCACGAGCTGATTATAAGGCTGTCAAAAATTTTAGAATGAATGGAGTTTTTGGATCATTGATGCTGTTCTTGGTGGTTATGAGTGATGATTTGAGTATTGTTATGATTTGTGATGATTATTGGACTTGATGATGGTAGAACTAAACTTCTAGGACTTTTAGTCAAGTAAAAAAGCTTATGTGATGCATGAGAATAGTTAAAAAGAGTTCAAACAGTTCTGAAACCCTTAAACGGTGTAAAGCTACTGCTAGCACTTTACAGCATCCAAACTCACAACTCTGAGTGAATATATCTCATGTGGACACATCAGCTTTACCCAGTAGGTAAATCCAAGTTCAACAAAGAAAAGAAGTTAAAGAGAATGTCCGCATCTGACATCTTACATATTGTCATGCCGATATTAACAAATATTTACATTTTAATTACTTGATATATTGACAGCTCCTTTAATTTCATTCAATCCTCTCACTTTTTATACTCAAATATCTTCTTTGTTGAGCATTAATTGATCGACAACCGACATTGTGTATATATTTGCTTTAGTAAGAAGCGTAAGAAAATATTTTTATACTATAAGTCAACTGACATGATTGAGAGGCTCTTATCTGCTTCTTTTATGTACTCATATATTGATATTCATTAAACTCCAAGCCTGTTTCTGATGGCTAATTTGTTTAGTTTCCAATTAAAATGCAAGCCAATTTCCATTTTTTATAGATCTTGGCATAAAATTAAAGGAACGACGACGAAACAAAATTAAATGTTTTACTAGGTCATGATGTCAGTTAATTAAAGTATGTTTTTGTGCTATTTACTTTACGCATTGTCCATTAATATTCATTAGACTTGAATGAGTGAAGCTTGGAGACATTCGCATCACAATATTTATGGTTTGAGTGGAGATGATTTGATTGTCTCTGGTTTATTTTCTTTGGTTCACAATGCTTTGATATGATGAGATATTGTGCATAACTGTGACTAGATATACTAGACCTAGCGTCGCTAAAAGCTGCATGTTTCGATTGACGTCACTTATAAATAACCCCGGCTCAATTGCTTGCAGTAAATTTTATATAATTTCATCAAAATTTATAGCCAAAAAGCCATCGAATCCCCGTGAAGGCTTTCAATATAAATAAATAATTGCAAGCTTCTCCATTCAGCATTTTTTGCAGACAGATCAATGACTCATAAATATTATTAAACCCAAACAGCCCTGAATCAAGAGATTTATTTCGCAATTTATTTGTAAACTCACCTCAGCAATTGACGTCTCATAAGGAGTATTAACAAAAACTGGCGGCTCATCGTTAACATCAGACACACGAACGATAATCGGAATATTGCGACTTCGACTTGGTGTTGATTTAATTGTACAAGATATCTGCAAAAATAAAAAAATAAATATTTTAATAAGAGAATGTTCGATGCTAATTAATTCACTTGCACCCAACATCAGTGTCGATCTCGTGCTGCGCACTTAATACTCACCGAGAACTGTATATGACTCAAATTCTCCTTATCTCGATCAAGTGGATGAACCAATTGCAAATATTTGCCATTTAATTTGAATAAATTATTGCTTCCTTCGGGTAAATTTAATCCCAATGTGATCTCATCGTCGACATCGCCATGTATAGGTAGTTTGGGTGAATTTTCATGTGTATTGATGACTGCTGTAGGGAATGAAGAAAGAAAATTGTTATTGAGAATTCAATTAAGCTGAAGCTTTTTAAGAAGAAAAAAAATTGTGTATAAGTTAACCAACCACACACATTAATCATTGAATATAATATAAATGTACTCTTTATATCCAGTCGATATGTTGTTTATTATTTTACACACAATGATTAATGTCGATTAATAATTAATTAATTCAGAGCAAGTTCTTGTGCGGAGACTTATCTCGAAGTTTATTTTTTTATTTTTAAATATTGACTGCGGGGACTTACGATTGAAATATGAGGGAATTCTCGTAGATTTAGATAAATTGTCTAGAATTGCTTCTTAACTAGGTACTAGACTACGTATTAGACTCAATATTTGACTGAGTCCTAGGCTCAATACCAGACTAAGTCCTAGACTAAGTACCAGATTAAGTACCAGAATAAGTACTAGACTAAGTACTAGACAACGTACTAGACTCAATACTAGACTTAGTCCTATGCTCAATACTAGACTAAGTTCTAGACTGAGTACTAGACTAAGTACCAGATTTAGTACTAGATTAAATATTAGACTAAGTACCAGGCTAAGTACTAGATTAAATACTAGACTAATTTCCACCCAAGTTATATAATTAAGAACTTAACTTGATTTTAGATTAAGTACTAGATTTAGTACTAGAATAAGGTTCTAGATTAAATACTAGATTAGGTACCAAATCAAGTACAAAAATATTTTACAAATGTCATATCTTATCATAGATTCTAGTGAGCAGTCAACGACAATTATTTAAAACAACTTTAATAGCTTGAACCCCCTGCTTAATCTTCAAACTCATTTAAATACACAAAACATACAAAAATGATATTAATATATATCAAATGTTTATAAAATATTTCTCGAATATTTGTTGTAATTGTTCCTTATTGTGCCCCTACCGCGAGCCTTTATTGTGCTCATGTCTGTCTATCTTACTCGCTCCTCTGAGTGTGTTAAATTTAAATAAATTATTTATCAACTACATTAGGTAAAAAATATAAAATATACAAATAGAGAAAGAGCACAAGAAAAAAAAAATCACCCACAGAGCATTTATAAATAGCCAAATTGCTTCTTAAATAGTTCCATACAAAACAATGAAAAAGTGATATTGAGGGATTATTTATGTTGTAATATTTTAATATCTCATGAGATCATTCGGATTACTGTTTCTCTTTTTAGTCGAGCTAGTAGATTTTTTTTAATTAATTCTATTTTACTTTATAAATCGAGTTTTTCTAGCTACTTGACCATTACTTATATATTTGTTTTTGCTCACAGACATGTTTTAACTTTAAGTTGACAGTCGATTATTGGGATTTGTAATTAATTTTTACAGAGTTGGGAAAATGGAGCTTTTATTTTCAACTTTGGAGTTGATTAAGGTTTAGTTTATGGAGCAACATCTCTTTTGGAGATTACATTAAGGTCCATTTTATATTAGAGACTCTATAATTGACATTTAAGAATTGAAAATTGCCCTAGATTTGGCTTTAGGAGAGCCTTCTGCCATTTGTGATGTTGAAAATTTATTTAAAGCTGCTGTTAATTCTTTAGACAGTTTTTGGGATAGTCAACTTATTAAATAGTGACTATGACATCAATTCTATCCATTCATAAGTTTGCCTCCTTGGGTAAGGTTGAGTTTAAGTCATTAAATTCATCAATTTTGGGAAAAATCTATTACTGACTGTTAAATAGGATATAAATTTTTATTCCAAAATCAGCTCAGCAGGAGGCTTAACCTTCATTATTTGAAGAAGAACTCCAAAATCTACTTAAAACAGGTAGCACGCCAGACCCTTATGCCTTAAACAAATTACTACAAAACCAACAAATATTTCGAAATATTTAAACTATAAGTGTACTTAATAACAGTTGTGGATTTGTCAAGGAAACTGCAAAGCCATATGAAATGTAACACATTATTACAAAAATTTGAATAAAAGTTACTGAGAAACTCTTTTCACATTCCCAATAAACTACAAATTTTATTGAAATTACATCAATTATCTTTATCGCGTATTGAAATAAAAGATACATACGTGAGATATTTTTTACCTCATTGTCTGTAATCAGCAAATATTTCATTACGGAACATTCGAATGCCACCATTTCAATATGATTTTTATTAATATTTACGATTATGAAAGCAACTTGTAAACTGCAGCTTATTTGCGACAAAATATTTATAAAATAAATTTTCTCATTTAATGAATAATCTCTTGATTCTGTAATAATATCTACGGCATGTATGTATATATACATTCACATGCTACTCTTGTGAGTCCGCGACGGTATTAAACTTTCGCTTTTTTTCAGTCAATTTTCATGTCATCTGATAGCTAGTTTTAGAAGAAAAGAAGTATTTCATAAATATGCAGAAAGCGAAAGTTGCAATCATTTTATTTTCCTGCAACATCCATGAATGAGAAATCGAAATAAAAGCATGTTTAAAGGAGTCGAGATGATTAATTTGAATTATCAATTATTATTATTATTGCGATAATGGCAATTCGAGGTGTTAAATATCACACATGAAGTCTTATCTTGTTACATGTACTTCTTATTGAAGGAAATTTAATACAATTTTACTTTTTTTTTCTCATGACATATTCCATTTATGGGCGTTGAAGCTCTCATTTACTTTAAGGTTTTAAATTCTGTCTTTTTCTTTTTATTATTCACTGGATATCAGTTTATTCGTCAATTTATTGTTAATGTGCAATTTTTATTAATAGCAATATTTACAGTAAAAACCTTTTCATTATTTTGTATGTTTACATGTGAGGGGGTCGGTGGATAAGCAAATAAGGAGTTTGTCTGAACTGTTGGAATTTTATACGAGTGACGTGGTTTAGAAAGATTTGGAAGAGAGAAGGGGGTCAGTCAGGGGTGAAGACAAGAATTTTCATTCATTTTTTGAATAAACTTTAATATTTTGAGGGTATCCTTACTACTCCCCTGGAAGTAGTAAGTCAAAATGCGCCTCAAACCATCCTCAATCTACAATCCTCTTCCAACTTCATACATCCTCTGCAGCACTGACATTTATTTATATTTTTATGTGTACAAAAGAGACTTGTACCTGAAAAAAAAATGGAAAGTGCATTGAAAGCATCACATTGCATGTGCATGTGACATCTCTTGAATCGCGATAAAGAGGTAAAGAAATATTTCAATGATTTAATTCCAATTACAACATATTTCTGCAATAAATTCTCCTCATATTCAATAAAAGTGACCTCGATTGGATTGAATAGAGAAATAAAACAGGCATGAACTTACCATTACCACGACTCTCCTCAATGTCTACGATGATATTATTTTGTCCCGTTTCAACTTCACACAATTTACCATAAATTCCCATCACCATCAATTGATTGAGTAAAACAAACAAGACTTTTGTCAACAATCGGCGTCGCTGATTGAATTGGAAGAGCCACATCGTCTAGAATGAGAAGAAAAAATAGTGAAATAAGATTAAGTATGAGATTAGCAATAAATAAATATTTATAAAAAATATTTGCTCATTTGACATGTTTCCTTCCATTCTCAAGCAGTAAACTTCAAATGTCGAGCCTGTCGAACGATGATTGATTGTTTAAAATCGAGACTTAACATGCAAAGTGTATAGAAATATGAAAAAAATCTGAGGCATAAAATCAGGTCGTTCTAGCATTATAGTGAAAGTTGTTTATGTCCAAAATAAAATCAATGTTTGGATAGACCTTGAATTCTAAATTTTCCGGTATCCAAAAAAATATTTGACTTTGCCTTCTTTTATTTTGTGCTGTCTCATTTTTCCAATTTTTTTTTATCCTTAACTTTAGATTATTTTACAGTATTTTGATTTATTGGGCAGTATAAAAACTGACTTATTTATTTATTAGTGTTTCGAAAGTGAAATCGGAGCTTAGTAGGAAATGTTTTGCATATTAATTTTTATGGACCAATTTGGATATTTTTATTTATTTATGAATATGCATTTGTTCATATGAATTGGGGGCTGTGTAGTTGTGACGTCTACTTTTGAATAGATTGCTATGAGACGCAGTCATAGGAAGAGGTCTACCCTTTTGAGTCATAGCTCTTAAGAAGGTAGATAGATCGCGACTCTTTCTATGTTATTAGATGCTATTGGACGTCATTAATGAACAACATCTTTCAAAAAACTCAAGAATTAATAATTAAGGATACAGTCCAATTTTGGTGTGCTTGTTTTCAGTTAAAATGCTTTAACATAGTTTAGATATGCTGAATTAATTTCTGATCTTGTCTTTAATTTTTTAATTTCATAGAAATAAATGTTGCACGTTACATGATTTTGTTCAGTCATTCTGTGACCAATTGATTTGACTTTATCGGGTCGAATTTGCAGAGATGATCGAGATTCTCGATTGATCATGTTTTGGTTGATTATTTGGAGTGACTTATCGGGACAATTGTTAGTGATGTTCATTGATTCTTGAACTCCCAAACTTAAATGTGACTCAATTGTGTATTTAAAAAAAATCTACGTATTGTCATGCAATTCTAGTAAACAGTTGACATCTTTTGCTTTTAGACGTCATTTATTCTTGACCAGCATGACTGAATTCACCATTCTCAAACCTTTTCAGCACAAACCCAATACATCATTCCAATTTATCTTATCGATAATTGCTCCATTCAATACCAAAAACTTCATTTGCATTTAATTCAAAATTCAGCGTGAAATCATCCTACACTTAACGATCTGCGGTATATCAGGACATCATCAACATATGTAAATTAACTCGTAAACCCACAAATGAAAAGAAAACAAATTTTAATAAATTACAGAGATTAGAAATTTTATTTTATTTTGCAAAACAAAATTAACTTTCCATAATAAGATTTATATGGATAGACCATAAATCTTTTTAACAAATTTGACGAGATCATTATGAGGAAATTATTAGGTCAACAATGTATCTGTCCATTCTAAATTTCATCTTTTGCCGTCAAGCTGATTAGTCACAGCATCAAATAAATCATCAATCTTAAAATCCTATTTTGAATATATCAAATCCATTTTTTACGATTCCATGACTTCGTTACAGATTTCGCTGAACCTCTAATATTCAACACCAGTGAACAATCTTGTCAGGTACGAATAATGAAAAACTATATGTCAGAAATTCACAAAAATAAAAATTAAATTTACACTTGTCAGCATTTAACTTGTCATCTAAATATGTAGAGTTTCTCAACAAAAAGTTCTTGTTTGTCAGGTGTTGATTGAATGAATATTATGGCACTTAGTGAGCTGTAAAATCTATCATTCACTGACGGATAGAAGGTTTACATTTGAGTAAATGTAATGCGATTGAGGAGGTTGATTTTGAAAGGGAATTTGGACTACCAGGGGGTTCTTGAAGCACCAGTAGCCTTAAAGTTACAGTTTAGTAGCTATAAAAGCACTCAACTAGATCTGAAGTCGGTTTTTGGGACTATTTGAGGTATCGTGGTCCTCAATTTTAGATTCTGGCCTAGGGTAGCTTTAGAAATTAGCTTCTGTGGGACCATAAAGAGTTATAGAGCCTCTTTATTGTATAACCTCGATATAAATTGATATCCCATAAAATATCCACATTTAATAGAAAACCTTACAATCCCAAGCCATCACATTCACAATATCCCATAGTTCTACAATTCTCAATTAATTTCAAAACGTCAACTACAGCGCACCTCACATAGAAGTTACAGTAAGCAAGAATTTCCATAAATAAATCTCTCATTTAATTGGATGAATTGCTGATTGTTATATACAGGAATAAAATTGTATTTTATATTTGCCAGAAGGCAATAAAAATTAATTTAAAACTTTATGTCGTTTTGTTCTTCTGTACATCGTACAAGCTCGTCAATTGTCGTGGATAGAGAATGGTCGCATATTTCTTGTAACATTTCAGCTCTAATGCTGATGGGAATGTGATTAAATCACGCTAATGTTCTGTTCGCACTACAAAATCTTTTTATTCGCTATTGTTTAAAAGCATTTCAGTAAAGATGTTACGTTAATCATCGTGGCAGAATGTCTGATTTGAGAATTCATTAACGAAAATGAAATGAAATATAAGAAACGTATCAAAAGTTATAATTAGATGTGGACTGCCCAAAGCGATTCTTCTTTGCTGCTTCATTTATTTTTTTTTCGTAAATTTTTCATTTTTTTTTGAAACTATGAAATAATCTGCAGACACCAACAAACAGATAAATATTAAAGTGTATCATTTCTTCTCCATTCCATTATGATCGTTTGGTTTATCATCATTTCTCTCGTTACATACCATCCACATATCGTCTTCAATTTTATATACACATATAGATACGATGAGGCCTTATTTTAAATTCTTAATTATGTAAGAATATATGAGAGATATAAAAAGCCGAAAAATTGAGGTAAAGTCAGAGGGGAAACAACATGATGAGGAACATTTTTTAATGAGAGAAATTTTTATCGATTTTCCAATAGAATTTAATTCAAATATTCATTAGAAATTATCCAAAAATCCTCATCAAGTTGTTACCCCCTTGAATAAAGTATCTCATGATGACGTCTCCAGCTCTCCCATCGAGCGACTTTTTTTGTTAAACGACGATGTACACAAGAGTAAAAGAAAACATAAAAATGAACAGATATCGAGGAACGAGATTCGTTTAATGGGCTGATAAAGTCAAACGACATGAGATATATTTTTTTTGGACATCACTCGCAAACGCCCTCAAACAGGAAAGCTTTTTGGGTGTTCTGATCAGCATTAAAACGTAATAAAATGTCTTCTTCTTTTATCTCTCGTACTCTTTTGCTGTCTCTCTATCAGTATCAACTAAGAAAATGTATAAAACTTAAATGAAAAAATAAAAGAAAGATAATTTTTGTTGAGCTGATGTTTTTGGGGAATGAAGATGGTTTGCTGGATTGGCTAGTTGGCTAGAGTTCCTTCAAAATTGCACTAGTCAAAATGTATAATAAATAGAATAAATAATTAAAAATTGATATCTTCATCGGTTTAGAGACAAGTCTTGTGTACAGGATAGAGTTTGGGTCTGGTTTTGAACTTGGGTATGATCTGGGATGTCCCATAACAGTACCTTTAGCTGGTTTGAGTATGTTGAGGAAAGACAACAATATGAAACATTTTGTGTAGTCTTAGGGTACACATAACCCATACTATAGAGTATCAATAGAGCCCTTAGGTTTTATGACTAAGGCACATACTAAGTTTGGTTCATAACCTAATATATTGAACATCCAGCCATTGATTGTAGGTCCAAAAATGCGCCTAATTCCCTCAATCAACAACGACAATTTTTTCCAATTCAGTTTTTACTTCACAAAATGCTGTTGTTGCGGTACCTCAACGTCTCTTTCTCTTTTTCGAATGTACACAGCCTGTATTCATCTCAGATTGTATAATTTTTATTTTTTAAGTGCGACTTCGAGTGGGTAGCAGTATGAAAGCTTTGTTTATTCCTCTCTTTAACAAACGACAACATATAATGGCATAATGTAGATGGGAAATTGCTGTGATTTTTTATTTAACTTTTTTTTTGTTCCTGCTTTGAAGTCATGTGAATTTATGGTATAAGGAATTTCAATAAAATTATAGGGTTTGGGGGGATTTTGTGTCTTAGATTTTAAAGTTAATGTGGTTAATTCTTATGAAATGTTTTGAGAGAATCTGATAACAAAGCAACAACATTTCTGTGCCTTTAAGGCAAATTTACAAGATCTTTTTATTACAGGATGTTGTCATGTCGGGCATTTCGCTAATTTTGTGCAGAAAGTTTATTCACCAATTTTTTTTTTGCGATTATGTGAGAATTTCTGGGAATAAGTAAACTCATTTTTAATGCTTGTTTGAGAACTAATTGATTAAGTATGTTTGGGGTAAAGAACTGAGATTCTCAAGGCACATGATTAAGCAATTTATGAAATAATATTGATTTAATAAAAATGTTTGCAAAAAATTCTCTCCGGGAGTCGCAAGACTATCCCTAGAAGTTAAAATTCTTGTTTAAAATTCATCCTAACTTGATGATAGAAAAAGGTGATAAAAAAATTCTATTTGCTTAGTTCCGAGCTAGACATGAATGTTCTTCGTTAACTTACTGGGCTAGGCAAAATCTAGGAGTTTCTTTTTGAAACTGCATTAAAGCGTCGACTCATTTTTGATTTGTTGCTTTAAACCATTGACTTAATTTTTGAATCGTTGCTTTAAAGCTTTGAAACGTTTTTGAGTTGTTACTTTATTTTCATTTTTCGTTGACACATTTTGAAGCGTTACTTTAAAACCATTGGCTCATTTTTGAAGCGTTGACGCATTTGGAAATCGTTGCTCTAAAGCATTGATTCAATTCTAAGCCATCACTGCTTATCCTACTCGGTCCATCAACTTCAAACTCTCTTCAACTCAAAAATGC